TGGGGAGGAAGGACGGCACCTTTGTTTCCCTGTAATTCCCTTGACTGCTAGGGAGAGGGACCAACTGTCTCCTCTCCTAAGGACACACACTGTCGCTGGGGAGGAAGGACGGCACCTTCAGCTCCCTGGGACTCACACTACCGCTGGGGAAGAAGGACGGCACCTTCGTCTCCCTGTAACTCACTCGGCCGCTGGGGTCTCTCCCCACTGGCCAAATCTGCTAGGAATTACAGGTACTCTCCAATTATTTTCTTGACGTGCTGCACAGATCTCTCCGAGGGGTTGGATCCATAGACAGCCAGCACCACATTAACCTCTCTGTCAAACTGCTCCTGAGTGTAGCCGGGCACCATGCTTGCTCTGCCGAAGTTGGTTCCTTTGTAGATAGGGGCGCTGTATGGGTACTAGCGTTGCTCTCAATTTGTAATCCAAGAACTGGTGTTGTCTTGTAGCTGTCCTTCTGGGCTGTGGGAATGATCCCGCCGCTTGCCACCAATTGTAACGGACCGTTTTGCACACAAGAGGTTAAAAACCGTTTAGGCGATATTCCCCTTTCAGATGCACAGGCAGCTACTGCAATCACCAATCTCCCGAACTGCAAACACACGAATTCTCCAACTCCCGAACCGGAACCATACGAATCCTCCAACTCCCTAACAGGAAACACACGAATGCTGTTAAACAGCCGAACAGGAAAAACCATACGAACAGCTTACACTCCTGGCTACGCAGAATGCTGCCATCATGTGTTAGTTATGCGCAACCGTGACCAACCGGTAGCAATCAATTAAGCTGCGGTTAACCGCAGCTACTGGGTGTTCAATTGACGGCACACGCCGCTTCTGTGAGGCCAATTGAAGACATCCAAAAGTCCATGGTGGTCGGCCATTCGTTAGTTTGTTTGGTAGATTGAATCTACCGAACGGCCTGGGCAGATAGGCACGAATACACCTTTCTGCAGGGAAAATAGTGGTTTTAAATGCCGGTCCATAGTCTAAGGGGAGCACGCGGGCAACCAGGCTCCTCCAATGCACCGTGGAGAGGTTGGTTCCGCCACATGCAGTGTGTTGGTGTGAGGGGGTGTAGTGTGTGTCAGGGGGGAAATCAGGGGGAAAAAAATTATTTATTTTTTACTTAAAAAGAGGGGAATGTGGCAGTCTGTCAAGGTATCACCGCCACGGATATCCTTTTTCCCATATAGACAAGCAAATAATCCCACAGGAAAAATATAACTGGTGTAGCATAACCCCCAACACATGAGCCGAGGCTTAATGCTGAAAGAAGACTGTTTAATGGAAGTACAGGCATTAAATTTATACAGTCAGTAAACTTCTCCTCTGTGCCTGAGAGATAATTGAGTCAGGAACAGTACAAACTCAATTATCTCCAGGGACAGAAAAGTATCAAAATTTCTGAACACCCCAAAAGTACCCCCAACATACATGGAAAGCCCACAAAAGTCACATCCCCGGATAGCTGGGATCTGGGCGAACAAAATATCCCAAAATCACCCAGATCCGTTTGGTAGTTTTAGATCGCTATCGCAGGGAAGTTTTGACCGGTCTGCCACGAGGTTGAAGCCCAAAATAGTTACAGGGAAATTGTGGCAAGAGCCAGTCTCCGTTCGTGGGGTTTTGTATGAAACCCACACAAGTTAGACGAAAGCAGATCAGTAGAGAATGCTCCCTGTGTTCGGTAGTGAATATCTCCCGAATGCATTCGCGTAGGTGAAGGGGAACGGGAACAGGCAGCAGGTCCATGATGACCGGGGTTCGCAGGAATGCCTGGCCAAAATGAGTTCCAGGCACTCATCGACCAAGTCATGCTGCCTGTGTTCGGGAGACAAAATGGCCGCCATCCATTCTCCTGAACAGGTGCGTTCGCATACACGAAATAGCGGCCAACCAGTGGAGCATTCAATTAGTTTGTTCCATGTGCTAATGGGTGGTCTCAGTTCGGAAACCGAACAAAATAAACTTGGGCACGAATCCAGACAACGAAAAGGAGCCGAAAGTGATGGGGTATTCCTTCACAGGGAAAAAACGTTATGCACGTCCCGCCTCCTTACCTCTGGCCTGGAAGAAGGGGACATATCACTGCAAGCCCTGGTGGTCCAGTGGTTTCGCGTGCACCTTAGACCGCAGCTCCAACGGCTGCAGGCTGACCACTTTTTTTTTCCCGCGAGCACAGCGCTGTCGGAGTGTTGCCATGGTAACGCACAGCAACGCTCTGACTTGCCTGTTCGAGGGAGGATCACAGCCTCCCAGGTCCTCCTCCTATCCAGCTCCCGGGTCTTACCTCCCTCCCACTCCATTAGCAAACTGCCTTTGATCTCCCCTCCGCCCCCCCCAAAAAAAGCAGACAGCAGGGCCGGCTCCACAGGGGCCGTTCCCCACCCCTGCTTTAGGGCAAAATAAGCTGGAAAAAAATAGAGAGAAAAAAGACAATTTTTTTTAGAAGAGAAAAAAATAAATATATATATACATACACATACACACACACACACACACACACACACACACACACACACACTACATTCAATAGGATTTTTGGTGAGATATAAGTTTCCCTCTCTTTCTCCTAATAGAGCTCTAAAATTTGCCATTCTCATGATGTAAGTGCACGTTGCATTGCTGTTTTTTGGTTTTTTTTATTCTTTTAAATACTTTTTATTTATCATCTATACAATGCATAAAAAGAGAAAACTGATGCAGAACTGATTATTTAAAGAGCTTTTTCAACCACAATAATAAAACACTGTTTTAGTTATAGTAACTTTTACTGGTATGGCCTCCTGCCCTCCCAAAACATTTTTTAAAAAAAATTAGATTACGTAATCAAAGAAAACCTACCTGCAATTCCCACACAGAGAGTTGACCCTGCAGCATGATATTCCTCTGAGAATGTCACTCACCCTCATTGAAGGAGGAGGGATGTCCAGGGGAATGAACTGGGAGGGTGGTAACACTGGGCCATATTACTGTATGTGCAGCAGTGGTGGAACTAGGCTACGAGTTCCGCAAGTCAAAAGGGGACCCGAGGATGGTCGCAGAGCTAGGTCAATTACGCAAAAGCATATCACCTTGCACTGTGCTGGTGGTAGTCTGAGGGTATGAGATTCTTAGGTATTTGCAATCCGGCTTGGCAGTTCTAACAACTGCTCAAAAGGCATACAAGCACCACTGTGTGTTCTTGACCCTCCATGTTCCACAGATTGTGTGGAGGGGCAGGGACATTACGGACGTCATATCCCTGCTCCCTGGGACCATCACAGTGTGGCTTCAATCCGGGCCCGGGAATGGGCAGAAGTGCCCAACATGGAGAGCAGGAGAGTCCTTTACTTCTTAGCCATGCTACATTGTAAAGCGATAGGACAGAATTGAATTGCATTAATTTTTAAATTCAAATCGGGGAGAGTGATTAGATGGCAAGGAGGACAAGGGGAAACTGGAGAGAGGAGGAATAAGGGAAAGAACAAAAAGTAAGAGGGTTATAATGGAAAAATGCAGGTGGACTACATATCCCCTGGTGCTTTGCTAGTATTATGGCTATTAGAGCATTATGGGAGATGTAGTCCACAACATATGTGCCAAAGGTTACCTACTCCTGGTCTTTAGGGTCTAATGAGAGAATTATGGTATTTTAACTTTGTCGAGTGCCTCACAAAATCTAGAGCCACCACAAATTATATATAAATAAAACAAGATGGCTGCACTCACATGAACATGCATACTTGTAAATATATACAGGTCAAGGCTAAATATATATATTTGAGAGTCCAGGCCAACTCCTTTGTTTTGCACCCTTCATTGTCACAGGTGCCTCATTCAAGGGCCCTATTTCACCTTGCCCTGCAGAGAGTCCCAGTTTCATAGTGAAAACACTGCACATACAGACTACTAGCACAATGACCATTGCAAATCACTGAAGTGGTTATTGTGCTTGAAATAACCCGTTTAAAAAAATTTAAAAAAAATAGCCACAATCACCACACTGCCCCCTAAGAAACGTCTTTTCAATTCCTCCAATCTCCCCAGTAGTGAATGTGAACTTTAAAGTTACTTCTCACTTTTAATTGCTGGAAACATACCACACCATACATGTTTACTGTTTCATGTATTTATTAATTTGTTTAATTTAACCATTGACTATGCACATTTATTACTCACTTTTCACATCCCATCTCCCAGCACAATAAACACTGAATGCACAGACTTTGAGTTTACCATCTAAATAATGTTAATCTGATGTGTACATTAACGCACAGGGTCACATAATTCAAGCATCTAGGCCATTTCAAGTACCAAGTTAAAATGACTTGTTTAGTCCCTATTCTGTTGTATACATTTATACATATTGTATATGGAGACTATAGATCACTGTTCAATTCAAGCTCTCAGGGACACACATAATGTTGTCATATTTATGAAGACGCATATTCTGCAGGATTCTTCGTTGCCTAATTACTACATCTCATAAAACTTCTAAATTCTGCATACTACAGAGCAACCCTTTTCATGTGCTGCCCATCCATAAGTACATGTGATATGTGTACCTGAAAACATGCTGAATGTGGTAACCCTTGTGATAAGGCCGCTGCTGTGGATAAACCTGAATTCAGAAAGGCAGTCCAGAATGACATTAGAATGGACATGATACACAGTACAGAAATAAACTAGCACCTACAGAACAAATAAACTTGAGTAACAAACACATTGGACGTGATAACATTTGGTAGACATTTCTCATTAAAGACAATAATGAGTTAAATACAAACACTTTTACATTCAGACTTTTCAATTCTTCAAACATTTAAATATATTTCGAAGAGAGTTTCCCTTTTTCAGTATAATAATGAGACAACTTTCATAAACTGTTTCTGTTAAATTTGCGTTGCTAATATACTTAAATATTAATTCTATGGCTCTTTTCTTACATATAGATCTCTAGTTTGAAAAAGAAAGAGCGAGTGGCTGAAGGCAACGAAATTGTTGTGACCCTTAGAACACTTTCAGAAATGTATTTTGAACGAAACTTTCCATGTGGCCCATCACAGTATCAGAATCGGCTTCACAAACTTTGCTTTCGGTGTTTTCTTTCATTTTCAGAGTATTTAACAGTTGCTTGTGAGAAGGCGGTAAAGGGTGAAATGAATCGAGTATGTGAAGCTGACTTAGCGGACTTCGTTTAAGATCTTCAATCTTTAAAGCTTGTAAAATAACAGGTGCAAACTTGGAATAATGAGCTGTGGATGAGATGATAACTGGACAAGTCCTATCTTGCACTCGATCTGCAACAACTTTGGCAACAGCTGTATGGGGGTCTAAAATGTATCCAGTTGCACTATGAACTGAATGGATTGCTGCTAAACAGTCTTTCTCAGAGCACCAGTCACTGATTAGATCCTGCTGCAGCAGTTGGAATACATGATCTGGCAGTTGGCAGTGACCCTGGTTTTGCAACTGTCCGTAAAATTCTTTGACAAGTTGCCCATCACCATTTGAGATGAGATGCAAGTATCTTTCTAAATTGGAAGATTTCAGAATGTCAATTGACGGAGAGTAAGACAGTTGTAACTTTCGACCCCTGAGATCATAGTGACCCGTTTTAATAAAATCAGTTAGAATGTGGTTTTGGTTAGAGGCACAAATAATTTTACGGATAGGGATTCCCATTTGTTTGGCATATACGGCAGCTAAGGCATTGCCAAAGTTTCCAGTGGGAATGCATACATCCACCGGGCTCCCAAAACTAATAACCCCTTGACTGACAAGATCAAGATATGAAGATGCGTGATACACAACCTGGGGGAGCAGTCGCCCCCAATTTATGGAATTAGCTGTACTTAAAATGGTCCCATATTCGGCTGTAAGAAATCCAGTAAAATCTGCATTGTTAAATATCTCTTTAATGGCAGTCTGACAGAAATCAAAGTCAGACTGGACTCCTAGTGCCTGCCTATTTTGTCCTTGGCTGACAAGAATCTGATATTTCTGAAGTGGGCTTATTCCATTCTCAGGATACAGGCAAAACACACCAATTCTCTGCTTATCAATGTCACTGAGACTGCCGAAACCATCCAACACAGCACTTCCTGTGTCTCCGGAGGTTGCTACCAGGATGACATAATTGCACGTTTTTGGAATACAATAAGCAAAGATTTGAGGCATGAACTGCAGTGCCAAGTCTTTAAAGGATGCTGTAGGTCCATGAAAGAGTTCAAGAATAAACTGGTTCCCCACCAAATGTCTTACCGGTGCAATTTTGTTACAATCAAAATTTTCTCCATATGCTTTTTCAATAATTTCTCCTAATATGATTGCCGGGACATCAGCAGGATGTATGCATCGCTCTAATATTACCTGGGCTCTTTCAGCGTATGTTGCCCTAATTAAACGCTCCCAATCTCCAGCAGCTATTTTTGGCATTCCTTCTTCTGGGATATAAAGTCCACCATCCGAAGCCAAACCTTCCACAACTGCATCGCTGAAGTATTTTGTTTTGCATTCTCTTGCTTTTTGATCACTGGACGAAGACCTAGTGGAAAGAAAGGCTTCAGAATCCTGTTTTTGGTATCTGTTTACTGCATCAATCACTTTGTCAGCTACAGTCTCTATATCATCCCCAGCCTGGCAGAGCACACGAACATCATGCCATTTTTTATAAATATTTTTCCTCTTCTGAAGTATGTCGCCAATTGATGCTCCAGACCTTTGGCCAACAATACGATCCACTTTCATGCATTCCAGTCTATCAATGATATCCTGTGTTTGTACATCAAGATAAACAACTATAGCATTTTTCCTTGCATGCTCCATGCTACTAGTATGAAGGGGATTGGACCCAGTAAGAGAAATTACACTTCCAGATGTTGAAAAGTTTAAAAGGACTCTCCCTTCCTCTTCTAAAAATTGCTCGTCACCCACATCCTGCAATTTTTCTGAGACACTCATATTCCATTTTTTTTCAAGGACATCATCATCCACATCTACAACCGGACAATCCAGCTTGTGGCCAAGTATTTTGCCCACTGAGGTTTTCCCAGAACCCGGAGGTCCCATTAATATAAGGTTTTTGCCTTTAAGAAGAATGTTGTAAGTTGATTTCCATAATTTCTGAAGCTTTATACGTGCCAAAGGTTTTGACATGAATGGTCTCAGTAAGCCGGTTGTAGAATGCAGACTAAATAAGGGCATGTTTTCTTTGGTTTAAGATTTGTAAAACTGATACACACTGTTTTTCTTTAATTACTGAAACAAAAACTACACAATTCAGGGAGCTGAAAAAGAAAGAAATAATATAGTTTAAAGGCAGAAATCATTGGACCTTTCTGACTCAATTAAAATCCCACTACACAAAAAATAATATTAATTATACACCCTATTCCTATCTGTGTAGTCTGACAAGCAAACTGCAAAAATTCTCTATGTCTGAGCTATTCTTCCAGCTAATCTACTCTGGACTTAAATTTGAAATTCACTTTGAATCCTCACTTTAGTGAATACATTTTCTAAAAGGCATATCATATACATGGAAAAAGAAGAGACAATTATCTTGATTAATAATAAAATGTGTTGTGCAATGTCCAGCAATTACCTTGATGTATTCTTTCAATGTAGTCTCAGAATGTTGGATGGACCGATGTTGATTGGTGTTATGAATTATCAGCACCAAGTATGGAATGCTCTGTGAGAGAAATACATATTGATGATTACATTTCTGCTACATCCCACCAATGAAACAGTATTGTATACATGTATACGTCCACCAAATGGTTTATTTGCATGAAATGTTGAATATTACTCCCTTAGCCATTTCAATGCCTCAGATATAAAATAGGTTTACAGTACATTGCAGTACTTGTCAGTGCAAGCAAGTCTCAGATTGGGACAACCATCATACATGCACGGTCTTTGCCTGCTAACAGAACACCAAGATTGCAGTTTGCAGTAGGATCTCTACACCACTGAAGCATGTAAATATCTTAGAGGATTTGTCTGTCTGCTTACTACCACTATAGCTGCTATGAACTGAAACTCCCAGTAAACTAAATGAGGTTAACATTCTATGAGTTTGGTAGCTATTACAATCAACAGCCACAGGAGCTGCAGAAAAAAAGGGAAACTTCCAACTGCAACTCCCATTATGACTGGCGTCTGCCAGAGCAGGAAGGGAGATGGACTCTGACCCTGAGGCTGCTGTGACCGACAACACATCTATTTCTCCTTAGCATACAGTGTACTAAAAAGACACTGTAAAGAGAAAATTAAAAAAATGTGTAATGTATTTTTAAGTAATATAAACAAACATCTCTCTAACACAATGGCCATATATTCATACATATTAATGTTTAATAATACTATGATTGGGATAGTCACAAAAAAAAAAAATCAACAAAACTATTTCAGAAGATAAAATATAGTTAGTATAACTGCCAATATGGTAATTCACATTTCATGGTTAAAATAAAGCTCCAGATGGAAGTGACCAACATTTTTTGTATTAAAGGAACACTAACAACATTATAACCACTACAGTGGTTATGGTGCCAGGAGTGTCCTGGTGTTCCCAATTGTAAGTAGTCAAACAGTTTTAGAATGGAGTTGGATGGGAGCTGATCTCTCTTAGCCAATGAGCTAGGCCATGCCCTGCACGTCCAGGCTAAGTTCAGAAAGAGAGACTCCAGCTCTCTGGCTGATGTAGTGGAGGCAAGGAGCTTTGCCCAGTAGACCCCAGATAAGAAATCAAGCCAGGTGAAAATAGTTTGAGTACTTACTCATATTACTAGTATTAGGGGGTGCCAAGTCTCTCCTTGCACCATAACCACTAAAGCGTGCTGTAGTAGTTATGGTGCTTGGAGTGATGAAATCATTAAATTTCCCAAAGCTGCTGCACTTATACATGATGCCAGAGAAGCACTTGAATATCTCTCCCACATGAGGAATAGGCTCTACCAGTCAGCAAGCTCACATTCTGGTCTATAGAGACTGGTTTTATCCCATAAACCCCTCATCGGATCTGATCAGTGGAACTGCTCAATGAGCATATAGCAGAGATACCATGAGTGCTAACAATTTATTGACATTTCCATTCACAGTTTAAATGCCTCCTGGGTGGAGGGGATGGGGGGAAGATAGGGACATACACAACATGCTCACACATTGCATGGTGAAGAAATAACACTTACTCCACTGTTTGAAAGCATTTCAAGCTGAGAGGTGGGGAGGGGCGTTTAGAATCAAATGTCTATAAAAAGTCTACGTGAAGTACCAGTGCACTCACTTACCTACCCTAACATGGCTTTATGTGTATTTTGCAGTGACGACAATAGCACAGGATGAGCACTCTCTCTTGTCATATGTGAAGTAATCTCATGGCTTCCAAGGCATTTTCTAAAATAGAATAAAAAGAAAAACACATAAAAAATGTTGTGGCTGATCGGTGTATAAATAATTGCCCTCGACACATATGTAGACATCTCTATAAGGAAGAGAAACAAATATTTTTAACCAGATAGTGAAAAGCTGTCAAATGGTTGGTGGTTAAAGGGACACTATAGTAACCAGTGCAACTACATGTATTCCTGACCCTATAGTGTTAACATGACCATCTAGCCCCCCTGGGCCCCTCATGCCTCCATAAATATAGTAAAAATCTTACTGTATTCAAGCCAGAAGCTGTAACTCTGCATGCTGTTAGACTCAGGAAAAACAAGCAGTCTGCTGACGTGATAGCCTGATCCAATCACAGTGCTTCCCCATAGGATTGGCTGAGACTGACAAGGAGGCAGCTCATGGGCAGAGCCAGCATGATTCAAACACAGCCCTGGCCAATCAGCATCTCCTCATAGAGATGAATTGAATCAATGAATCTCTATGAGGAAAGTATGCAGCAGTGGGAGAAGATACTGAATCACAGGATGCTCGTGCACAGCAGATCTGATTGGATGGAGGCATATTATGCCTCCATCAACTCGGAAGTCCCTCTGGTGGCATTCTGAGTGACTGCAACTGGAGGTGTTCCTAGCTTTCAATGTAAACACTGTATTTTCTCAGAAAATAAAGTGTTTACATGAGAAAGGCTGCAGGGAGCTATAGTTCTCACCTGAACAACCTCATTAAGCTGAAGTTGTTCAGGTGACTATAGTGTGCCTTTAAGGACCAAGTATACCTATATCTGCCAAGAACAAACACACAGGTTAAAAATTTTATTTTCTGTTGGAATATTAAAAGGAACACTATAGTGTTAGGAATACTTTCTGTCCTTCAATAAACTTGTATGTAGCACTTGGTGTGCACATTTGCAATTGATAGCGCTGCCCTAATTTTTTCTTTTTGCTTTTGTTAGGAATACAAAGCTGTACTTCTAATAGTATTGTTTCCCTCTGCCTTTGCGCTTTCACAGCAATCAAAGGGTTAAAAATCCATTAAACACTTACCTGACTCCAGCACAGATGTCCCTCAGTACTGGCTTCATCTCCACCTCCACCAACATCAGCGCAAGGGGGCCCTGGATGTCCTCATGCATAGCGTGAAAACATCCAACGTCGTTTCACAGAGTTAAACTCCGTGAAGAACCAAGAAGTGCCTCTAGTGGCTCTCTTGTAAACAGCCACTACTGGCAGTCTTAACCCTGTAATATAAACATTGCAGTTTCTCTAAAACAGCAAAAAAATTTCAGCTGCAAGGTTAAGGGGACTGGGACACTGCACCCAGACTACTTCAATGAACTTAAAGAATCAGTTACACTTAACGATGAGCTGGAACTACACAAAATGAGCAAGCAACAGACATCTGAAATCTTACTACCAAACGCCAACTCTACACACAAGTACACCACAGCTTTCAAATAGCAACAGTACATACAGACATACAACTGCACTCAAATGCCAACACTGCTCACAAATAAATACATACAGTTGCAAGAAAAAGTATGTGAACCCTTTGGAATGATATGGATTTCTGCACAAATTGGTCATAAAATGTGATCTGATCATGATCTAAGTCACAACAATAGACAATCACAGTCTGCTTAAACTAATAACACACAAAGAATGAAATGTTGCCATGTTTTTATTGAACACACCATGTAAACATTCACAGTGCAGGTGGAGTAATCACCATGGGAATTAATGGAGTGCTGCTGCTCTATTTTTACAACTTTGACCCACAATTGATCACTATACATATTAGGGATAGACCGATTTTCGGTTCTGCCAATTCTAAGAGCCTAAATTCTACATATTTATGATAATCGGTATCGGTCCTGTTATTTAACAATAACTTATTCATCTCTCCCATTCCCTGCACACCATCTTCTGTGTCCAGAAACTCCAACAGCCAGCCAATGAGGCGCCACATCACAACCTCACGTCACCCCTCCCTGTGGGTCCCCGCATGCAGAGAAAAACTGAAGGCAGGGAGGTAAGACAGTGAATAATCCACTGTAATGTACTGGGCTGGCTGACTGAGAGTAATAGGAGTGTGACTGCTGTCAGCAATCACATTCCTATCAGTAGCAGAACTGTATATGTTGGGATCTCACTGATCCCAGCATGTACTGGCTGCCAGAGAGTGATAGGAGTGTGATTGCTGCCAGTATGTTGACGTATTGCCAAATGTGCGTAGAAATTGTGCTGCTTTTTCTAAATTTTAAATTTACAGAATATTGACACTGGTTATCAGGAATCAGACCAAAGGGCAACACAATCTGCATCATCATCAGCTCTGGAATAATACTGGTCGATCCCTAATACATATCCTTATAATGTTCAATCATCATTCTGGCTCTGAACTTGCTACACACTAAACAGGGCCAAACTTTAGTTTGATTACTGCTGTTTTACTTAATAATTATACTTTTATCGCACTTATAAGTGTAACATCTGTTAGTTAAAATGTATTATCAAGTTTTCTAATCTCTTTGTTTTGGGATTAAAAAGAATTGGAGTTTTTAAATAGTGGGAGGTATTGGATGATGTGGTGTGCCTCATAGTGGGAGGTATTGGATGATGGGGTGTGCCTCATAGTGGGAGGTATTGGATGATGGGGTGTGCCTCATAGTGGGAGGGGCTCTGTAAAGATTTGTCACACAGTGTGACTATAGGCCTAAGTCCTTTAAACACATATTACATCCTCTATACACAAATAATAGATACCCACACTTCACATACATAGTCACATGGGCTGAAAAGAGACGTGTTCATTAAATTCAGCCTCTCTCACTTTTGTTTTTGCGGTTGATCTAAAGAAGGCAAAAAAAATAAATAAAAATAAAACAATTTGAAGCATTTCCAATTGTGCAACAAACTAGGGAAAAAACCTTCCCCAGAATAGCAGTGAGATATCTCCTTGGATCAAGAACGAAAAACTATATTCTTGTATTTTATGTTTTTGCAAGTATTTATCCTATTTATACCATACACCGACAATACACAGACTACAACCGCTATAAACCACACAAACGCTACACCCACTTTGTTTGTTTCTCAACAGACTGCGGAGTACACACAGACAGACTGCTAAGTACACAAAGACAGACTGCTGAATACACACACATACAGAGTGCATACACACAGTACACTGAATACACACACACACACACAGAGACCGCTGACTACACACACAGATGGCAGAATTCACACACTGTTGAATACACACAGGCTACTTTATACACACAGAGACTGCAAAGAGGGGTGCGGTGTATGTGTGGTGTGTGTAGGGGTGCAGTTTGTGACGGGTGCTGTGTCTGTGTGTGGGGGGTGCAGTTTGTGACAAGGGCACAACAAGGGTTGTGTGTGTGTCAGAGGTGCTGTGTGTGTGAGGTGGATTTTGTGTCAGGGGTGCTCTGTGTGTAAGAGAGAGGTGCAGTGTGTGACAAATGCTGTGTGTGTGAGGGGTGCTAAGTGTATATGTGTGTGTGTGCTGGGGTGCTTTGTGTCAGGGGTGCGATTTGTGTATGAGGGGTGCTGTTTGTGTATGAGGGGTGCTGTGCCCTGGTGGTCTACAGACAAGCTCACTGACACACACAAACTCACTACAAACAAGCTCACTGACACACACAAGCTTTCTCACTAGCAGATACACACACACCTGAGTATATCAAGCCTACCTGGCACTGGAGGCTATTGCTGGGAGGTCAGGAAGCCATGTTCTGTCCTCTTCCAACTGCAGCAAGGTCTCCTGCTTAACAGTGGTGGCAGAGCTTGGTGGCAGGAGGCGGAGTTTCCTGGCAAGGGTGGGTGGGGCGAAACCTGCATCCGCAAGGCAGAGCAGGAGCCTGTGTGAAGGGGAAGCTGCTGGAAAATCGGAAGGGAGACTGTCAGTGCAGTCCCCATCACCTCTGTCCTAAATTCCCTCAGACTGTAACAGTCCGAGGGAAAATAATAAAAGCACATGGCCAGCAAGTTGCTGGGACTGTCCCGGGAGGGTGATTTTCCCGGCAAAAACGTGACAGTTGGCAAGTATGCAGTGGGGGCCTCAATTTGGAGTTTCACCTAAGGCCTCGCAAAGTCTAGATTTGCCGTACACACATTACTACACATACAACTATACAAACAAAACACACAGACTATATACACGCACACCCGATTTTTATCATATTTAAATGATCATGTTCTTATTTTTGTTGTTTGTTGTTATTTTTAAGGGAGATTAGGGGCCTATGATGTAAAGCTGGCGTGTGCTCCCTACTGCTTTTGGTTTATCCCCTCTACATCTCTGTTTTACACCCACAATCTAACGAAGTATGCAGTATCTTGCACTAGCATTATTTAATTGTGGATTTGTTTGTTTGTTGAAAGGGACACCACTCACACATGCAGCCTTTCACTGACTTCTATGAGGAATTAGAAAGCATGCACACACGACACCCAACACCCACACATTTTCCATATTCCTCTCATTCTGTCCAAAGGAACACCAGGATTCAGTAGAAAGATCTGAGCCATATCCTGGTTTGAACAAACATCAATGGAGCCAGATCTGAGCCTTGTGATTTGCTGCAAAACAAACACAGTATTGTTCTTCTCAGTACATTGTCAATAGACTGAATTAGGTGGCAGAATCCATCCCTGCACAATCTATTCCATGCAGTAATAAGGTAATCACAGACAGCATTCTGCTATGCCACCTTACTAATCAAAGAAACTGCAGCTAGATTATATATATATATATATATATATATTACTAATACATGGTGTTAAGCATATATTCCAGTGCCATAAGTGGGACCAACCTACCTATCTGCACATGCCAGGCTTTTAATAAGGCATTGCACATTCCATTCCCAGGTTCCCTTGGAACGTTGGGTTATAGACATTGTATCCCTTACCTGGCTGCACAGCTGCCTGTCACCTACCACACGTATACAAGCAGCAACAAACAACGTCATGGACTCTACCACTCCCAGCATGCTTCGCTAGAGCTTCTAATCTTAAAGGAGCAATGCTGTGACATTTAAAAGGGAAATATTTTAGACTTTTCTATTTGTATGGAGTGGCCAGAGCACAGCAGCTATTGTAGAGCTAGGAGGGGTTGGGGAATGCATCTGTTTTAACCACACATGCCTTATATAGTTTACTAAAAAAATAGCATGTTATTCTTATCATCTGTTTAGTTTATTTTTCAATATTTCACAAAAATATATATGCTGTTAAAAAGAATACTTATCATAGATTCAAACTTTAACAAGACAAAATCCTTGATTTATATATTTGTTTATTTTTACTTCTAACATACTTGGAGTATTGAGAAGTTTAAAAATGTTTCACACTCATTCACACTTCGGAAACGTGCAGCATTTTACCTCTACGTCTTCCATGCAGGCGAGCGTGCCACAAGGAATCATATTAGTATGCGTTGATAAGTTAGTCCCCATTTTCTTTTTTTATTTATGTGCTGATAATGAATTCTGTGATATTTTAGCTATAAACTATTCTCGGAGAACTGGGTATTGGGCATATAGATGTAGACTGCAGTACAATTCTGCTACTGAGAGAGAGCTATCTGTGCCATGAAAGAGAAATGTGCTATCTATGGGCCATTGCTTGCCAACAGCTGGCAGCTAGACCCAAATGGACATGATGAGATTGGGAAACTGTGCTGGGCGAAATGCTGGGGCCCCTTGCACAGGTCAAGGTCTGGGCCCTTGCCCCAAGTCTGCCTACAAGGATGTAGTGTGTGTGTAGTGGATGCAGAGTGGTATGTCTGTGTAGTGGATGCAGTGTGTTTGTGTAGTTGATGCAGCTGGATTGGACTGCGTTATGTGCGCGAAAAGCTGTTTGTTTTATTTTCTTTTTTTAAATAATTACATTTTATTCCCCCCTCCCTTACCTGTGGCCAGGGATGGGGTACATTACACTCCCTGGTGGTCCAGTGGCTTTGTGCAGGCTGCCAGATGCTGTACTGTATAATGATCCAGCAAAAGCCATCTTCCTCCTCTGGCAGGTCCTCTGTCTTGAGCCCGAGCTGCATGCCATGTCGAAACGTTGCCGTGGTAACCCGCAGCAACACTCTGACAGCCATGCTCGTGAGAGTTGGAGAGGACCTGACAGAGGGGTGAAGATGGTGTTTGCTAAGCCCCCTCATAAGTATACATGCAGTTAGTGGCATGGGGGCCCATAGGGGAATACATATACATATATACAGTGGGACCTCGGTTTACAAACGACTCGGTTAACATAATTTTCGGTTTATAAATGAAAATCCATTGAAAATAATGCCTCGGTTTACACATTTTTTTCGCAATACAAAGCAAGTTTCCCCAGGATGTATTGCACCTGGGAGGTTTATAGCACTGCCCCCTGCATGCTGGAGCCTGTGGGTAGCACGTGGCGTCGAGTGTGGAGGTGTTGGAGCGGTTTTTGCATCGAGTTTTGGAGCCAATCTGGAAATTGTTTGCACTGTGGGGTGGGGAGAGAGGGGGGGAGAGAGAGAGGGAGAGAGGAATTGCGACATATATTTATATATGCACATTGGGGCCCCATAGTGCTGTATCGGCTGTAGCCCCTAATGGCGGCCTTGAGACTGTCAGTCTGCTGAATGTAAATCCCCACCAAGTTCGTTTACTCTTTCTTTGGGCGGCCTCTCTCCTCCTTTCCAGTGATGCGTTGGCATTGGCAGGCCATCCCCTGTCACCAGTAACGCAGTATCCCCTGTCACTGACACCCTATAGTCCATCTCACCGCTGTCCTGTTACGCTACATACCAACCTAACTCTAACCTCCCCCAACAGCTTATTGTAAACTCAACCTTTAGCAGCAACATTAGTAACGCTGTGGTTTTAAAGAAACATTTCAGACACATAAAGCTCTTGAGATTGCTGACCTTTCTGTCTGGAGTCTATTTCAGACTTTTTCAACAGATTACAGATTGTTGTTTTCAGATCTTCTAGCACAAGGCGTAGATGAAATTTCATGCTCTTTCCAAAGATGTCCTTTAATGCTGCTGCAATCTTATAAATGCAGAGACATAACCGTGCTGCCATAGCAACATTGTCATTTAAAAGGCGCAATTTTATTGGTGATGTTTTTACCCTGACGAGCATAATTTAGTAACTAAACACAGTTCATAGCCAGCAATAAAAGTACATATATACTCACTGATGTAGAAAATCATGATTTGTATACAGCTTTGCCTTCTGCAGCCAGGTGGGTGGTCCTCCAACAGATACAACAGGTACACAAAAGTGTAACCATTGTAGACAAAATTCTTGAGTGCTGAAAGGAACACAATAGTGCCCGGTATACATGTTTGTATTCCAGACGCTATAGTGATGGAATGCAGCATTAGGATCCTGGCCCCCCTCTTTCCAGAGATTAAAAGTGATATAACTCACTTTAATCTCCCACGCCATGGCAGTCTCACCACATAGGAAAGCTTTGGAAGGTTATTGCACAGGTGCGACATAAGCTGCGCTGTGCCAATCAGCATCTCCTTATAGAAATGCGTTGAATCAATGTATCTCTATGGGGAACATTCAGCGTCTGCATGCAGAGCATGTAGATGCTGTACATCATGACACAGAAGGCAATTCTAGTGGCCGTCTGAGTGACTGCCAATAGAGGTGTAACTAGCCAACAATGTAAATATTGCCTTTTCACACTTTATAGTGCTATGGACAGCATAACCACTACATTACGTTGTAGTTGTTTTGGTCACTATAATGTCCCTTTAACTAGTTAAAAATAATCCATTCTTTATTGCAAAAATAATTAATTGTAACTTGTTTCCATCAAAACACAGTAAGATAAATGCTCCCACCATATATACAGTATCTCACAAAAGTGAGTACACCCCTCACATTTTTGTAAATATTTTATTATATCTTTGTATGTGACAACACTGAAAAAATTACACTCTGCTACAATTTAAAGTAGTAAGTGTACAGCCTGTATACAGTGGCGTCTCTAGGATTCTTTTTTTTGGGGGGGGGGGCACATGGTGTGCCAGGGACAAAAGTAGTGGGGCACATTTAACCCCGCCCTCGCCGCAGTTTGACTCCGCGTGTTAAGCCCCGCCCCTACACAATGTGTTTTGTTTTTTTAATAATCCCTGGTGGAGGATTCATAATTTTCCACCAGGGATTATTAAAAAACAAACACATTTCCCTTGATACAGTGCCATAGTTGTCAACATTTGAAAAAAATTTCCAAGGACATTTTGCAGCACAGCTATCAATTACTGTCTGTGTATAATATCCCTGGACAGTCAGTGCTCTCTGTATAATACAGGGTTGTGTGTATAATAAATTGGGACAGTGGGTGCACCCTGTATAGTGCTGCTCTCTGTATAATACAGGGCTGTGTGTATAATATCCCGGGACACTCAGTGCTCCCTGTATAGTGCTGCTCTCTGTATAATACAGGTCTGTTTGTGTATAATATCCCAAGACAGAGAGCAGCACTATACAGGGAACACTGCCCGTCCCAGGATATCATACAGACACAGACCTGTATTATACAAAGAGAAGCACTATACAGGAAGCACTAACTATCCCGGGATATTATATACACACATATCTGTATTATACAGAGAACAGCACTATAGTATTATACAGATAGCTGAGAATATACCTCATGTCCCAATCTCTAGACTACTAGTACCTGTCAACCATGCCCCCCCGCCCCCCAGTGATGCCACCGCCTGTATAACAGTGTAAATGTGCTGTCATCTCAAAATAACTCAACACACAGACATTAAAGGGACTCTCCAGTGCCAGGAAAGGTCCCCTCTCCCTCCCACCCCCCATCCCAGGTTGCTGAGGGGGTTAAAACCCCTTCAGTGACTTACCTTTATCCAGCGCCGATGTCCCTCGGCGCTGGGTCAGGGTCCGCCCACGCTCCTCCCCCCGCCGACGTCATCCGGCAGGAGAGACTTATTGCATGCGCATTAGACCTCCCCGTAGGAAAGCATTGAAAAATGCTTTCAATGCTTTCCTATGGGGATTTCAGCGACGCTGGAGGTCCTCACATAGCATAGGACGTCCAGCAACGCTATAGCATAATCACGGAAGTGTCCTCTAGTGGCTGTCTACTAGACAGCCACTAGAGGAGGAGTTAATCCTGCAAGGTAAATATTGCAGTTTATGAAAACCGCAATAATTACACTTGCAGGGTTAAGGGTAGGGGAAGTTTGGCACCCAAACCACTAAAATGGTCAGAAGTGGTCTGGGTGCCTGGAGTGTCCCTTTAATGTCTAAAACTTCTTACTTCTACAGGACTTTATCAAGACCCCAATTATTGAATATGCAAGTATGCACCGACTAATACACCCCACAGCTGTGAATGACTACACCTCCCATTTGGGCAAAAAGCAAATCCCTCTGTTTAAACTTAAAGTACTAAATTCTATATTAATCGGTATGTCTATCCTGCATCTGTGCAGAGGCATATCACCTAAACCATATTATCATAATATACACATGGTCGAAAAAGTACAAAGACATAACCGAGTCACAGGTTGTTTGCTTCCATTTTGAAATGTAATATATTTAGAGAATACATTTGGTATTCAGTGAATAAAATATGATAACAAGCAATAAATTGTGTAAAATTTAGAGAATAATCTCTAAATAAAACAGTATGTTTGGGGGGGAAATATTTATGACATTAATTTAAATGTAATTTTAGCTAGCAATTCACTGCCCTCCAATGAATTTGAAATAATAATTAAACATGCATTTGTGTATATTTATTTATGTGTTTGCAAATAAGCTGACTTTTCTCCTACCCCCACCTCTATAAACATCCCAGCTCACAAATCTCAGTTTACTATTAACTCTGAGAATATTGCTAGAGGGAATGCACATTTGTATTTTTGTCAAGTGTAAATGTTCCAATAAAGTTTAAAGAAAAAAAAAAGCGACGGCAGGTAAACATGGTTGGGCTCTTAGAAACAGTTTCCATGGCAACAGTATCCACCAACTCCAAGTCTCCCAGTAGTGCTGTGTTGTTTCCCCAGCGTGGAAGGCATTCAGTCTCCTGGAGTTTTAATAAAACACCATTTCTTGAGCACTTTGGAGGAATTTCAAGATGAAGGAGTCACATCCTGTAGAGAATCTGTATAACCTCATCCCCAAGGAGAAGGTGGAAGTGGTCAAACCACCCAGGTACACAGAACTGAATACAGGACTATTATTTGTGTATTCCAATTAATGTATTCATATATGTGTGTCATAATCTATTTGGGTTTTTAAAAAGTATAATGAGAGAGATGGGGAAAAGAGAGAGAGAGGGGGGATAGAGAGATGGGAAAAAAGAGAGAGAGAGAGGGAGGGATAGAGAGATGGGAAAAGAGAGAGAGGGGGGGGAGAGATAGAGAGATGGGGAAAGAGAGAGAGAGGGGGGATAGAGATGGGGAAGAGAGAGAGGGATAGAGAGATGTAAGAGAGAGAGAGGGGGGGATAGAGAGATGGGGAAAAGAGAGAGAGGGGGGGGATAGAGAGAGGGGGAAGAGAGAGAGAGAGAGGGATAGAGAGATGGGAAAGAGAGAGGGGGGATAGAGAGATGGGGAAAAAGAGAGAGAGAGAGAGGGATAGAGGAGATGGGAAAAGAGAGGGGGGATAGAGATGGGAAAAAAGAGAGAGAGGGGGGATAGAGAGATGGGGAAAAGAGAGAGAGAGGGATAGAGAGATGGGGGAGAGAGAGAGGGATAGAGAGACGGGGAAAAGAGAGAGAGAGAGAGAGGGATAGAGAGACTGGGAAGAGAGAGAGAGAGTGACAGAGAGATGGGGAAAAGAGAGAGAGAGAGAGGGATAGAGAGATGAGGGATAGAGAGAGAGATGGATAGAGAGACGGGGAAAAGAGAGAGAGGGAGATGGGGAAAAAGCGAGAGATAGGGGGATAGAGAGATGGGAAAAAGAGAGAGAGAGAGAGATAGATGGGGAAAAGAGAGAGAGTAACGAGTGAGATTAGATGAGGAGAGGGAGAAAGAGAGAGTGTGCGTGTGTGTGTTGTGAGTCTGTAGGGGGGTTGTGTGTGTGTGTGTGTGTGTAGGGGTTGCTGTTTCTTCATTTGAAGATAAGAGGAAACTCAAAAATATATATTTTATATATATATATATCATTTATAAAGCGCCAACAAACTCCGCAGCGCTGTACAATGCTGTTAGTCTAATAAAATATATAAATTAATTTTCTTTCTGTACTGTACTTTTTTCAACTCTGGATGTATTACTTACTGATATGAAATATTTTGATTTAAGTTGTGTGTGTTTTGTTTGTTAGACACTGTTTGTTCCTTCTTCATTTTGCTAAAAGAAAAATATGTATAAAAGAAAAAGTATAATTGTACACTGTAATACAAGGAGGAAAAAGGCTGCGTCGTGATAAATAGTACTAAAAATACAATAAAGGATAAAAAATAATAATATATATATGTAAAAGAAAGTCCAATAAGAATATCTGAAGTTCAATAGACTTGGTCACTGTATTTGCTGGTAGAGTGTCTTCTATATTTCTAGTAGTCCAAATCGTCTCGTGATATGGAAGACACAAAGGGAAAGGACCAATCGTGCAGAGTGTATAGGATGAATAATAAATAAGTTAAAATATAAATGAAACACTCACATTTAAATGAGCTATGGCCAGCTCAAGTGTAACAGGCATCCACGGAATGATCCCCGCTTATGGGATATGTGGGTGCTTATCCTCCAGGCGACAGTGGTGTCCAATTCTCAGGAAAAGGGGAGAATAAAAACAGCAAATAGTGCTCTCTGATGATGTGACGTAATATAGAAAAAAATAAAATAAAATATACTCATAAATAGAGTGCAGACGTCACTGCACTCTAATAGTAGCGTTGGTGGTATAATCCCCACCTCAGGATAAGTGGTTAAAATGAGTAAAATGACAGGAAAGTAAAATAGTATGTAAAAAGGTAATGGCGCGGAAATCTAGCCAAAAATCATTTATTATATAAATTACACAATATTTAAAACCATTAACGCATTTCACCACTAGGGTTTTATCAAAATGGAAACTAAGTGGCTGGTTTTGCCACAGATAGGAATAGCAATGCAGTAATAGCAAGATACATACAAGGACATTCTGTAAGTGGCTAGGTTTGCCACAGTATAATACATCACGGAAGAAGAAAATAGCTAAATAAGTTAATACATATATTTATGCATCCAAAATATTTGCTTTTTTTAAGTACATTTCCTTTCATTGGTCAGTGTTTAGCAACTGTACTCTGCTGTAGCTGAGTACAGTTGCTAAGCACCTTTCAGTTTACGTGTGTGGTTTCACCGTCGGGGGTTATTGACTAAACACTGAACTGTGGTATGGGAATTTCAAGTCATAGGACAAAGTATATGAGTTGGAAACATTCGCTAGTTCAACCGATTCACTTACAGGCTAATGTAACACTGTACACCAGCCACAGAAGGGACATCATAAATATTCAATTTCAATAGACAAGCCAGGTCAAGGATTTGTTTTAGAAAATTTCCAAGTCACAACCCAAAAAGATGCTTAAATAAATCCAGGAAACAAAAAAGTATAAGACAGCTGTAACCACGTGTGCTCGATATGGAGACAGCGACGCTGTTACTTTTATTGCATTGGGTTATCACTCTTATATCACTTTTTTATCAATAAATGATGCAACTGTGTGTGATTGGTGCACTGGAGCTTGTTTCGTCAGAGTAATGCCTACTGGACGTAAATAGACAATAGTGGGTGTGGGGTGTTCATATGAATGAATGAAAATAAACCCTCTGATTTTGTAAGTATACTATAAACCAAAGTGTTAGTCGCAGGATTTAAATTGGTACCCATGTTATGTATTCCAGGTATATTTCAACATTCAGCGAATCGGTGAAAACTGAAGAGCAGAAGAAAAAAGATGCGTGCAGGACCATGGGACCGGCCAAAGTTAAAGTTCCCTCTCCCAAAGAATATTTACAAAAACATACACATGAAGTAACAATGTCCCAAAGTAAGTATTGTTATCAAGTTAAAGTAATACGGCTGTATTTATTTTCTTAATACTTAGTATATAGCCTTCCATGGTAACCGTTATTCCTCAAACCAATATCCTTCTCTCTAATTAGTGGGTCCATTCCACAGTTCACTTTCATCTTCCATTTCTGCTACATTCCCAACGTGTCATTTGGTTACTATCCCTCGCTCTACCCTTTCTATTGTGTTTTTATACCCCACTCCCTTTAGATTGTAAGCTTATTCGAACAGGGTTCACATCAACTTAATCCCCCAAATTTGTGTTGTTATAACACTGTAAAGCATCTTGGGATGTTATTTATCATATTTAGTTTCATATTTCCTTTAGTTTATTTTATTTTTTATACATGAATATTTTGGGCTTTTAAATGTATTGCCCATTGTACAACACTATACAATATGTATTTATTTATGACTGGCATTTATAAAGCGCCAACATATTCCATAGAGCTGTACATTGGAGGGGGGAACAATACAATATACACAGACCAATAAAAAAGATAAAGAGGGCCTTGCCCATGAGCTGATATCTACCCATTAAAGTGTTTTTATACAAATATGCTGGTGCCATGTAAATAGAAAGATTACATTTTTGACAGTGTGGCCTTACTACACATCGCTGTTACTACCTTTGAAAGGACACTATAACAGGCCTCCAAACAGTCCCAATGTCAGCAGGACAGTCTTGATTTTGGGATCCTGTCCCTCCGTCTTGCATCTGGGGACACCAAGGATTGTTCCCAGCCAACACAGTTTGAGCACATCATTAGATGTACAGGTGCTATGCAGCAGGCACTAGGATCATGCAGAGAGCACTTCAGAAGCACTTCCTGCATGGTCCTGAAGGAAGGGGGCTGGCAAGACACACTGTCAGTGGGCGTGCCTGTTGGTTATTTGCGTCACCAGCTTGGGTCACATCATTGGTGGCGCTCTCACAGAGCCCCACGCACCCCATCCTGATTCCATACCTATATTTATATATTTGTAGTGGTTTTGGTGCAAGCACTGTTTGACAGCAGTTTGACATAAAAAAGCAGTATCCTTTTAGGAAACCAAGCACATCCCTCTGCAACTGCTGAGTCAATGAGGAATTTCACTAAATCATATATCGTCATCTGTCCTAATTTGGAGGTTATTAATGAGGTGTGAGAGCTAGGGCTTTACAACGGAAGAGTTATAGTTTTTGCCAAATTGTTCAAAAATTGTTCGACAAAACCTGAAAGGAGTTCACTTTGAAACTCATTGCACCATACACTTACAATAAACTGTAGTAGTTATAGTGCTTCAAGTGTCTTTTTATGGGGTATAGGAAACGGGAAAAGTTGTTCAAAAATAGCATGGATTTTTTTACTAAAATACAAAAAGTGGAGAATTTCTACTGCTCTGATATTTCTCCATTCCTGGTATTGTGGCTTAGAATTCACATTTTGTTTGTAAATTCTCTACAACCACCAGTTTAGTAAATAATCCATTGCTTTCTCTTGTAGAACACATAGCTTGTCAGTACACTGCTTTTTAGAATTAAACTAGTGCCACACTTAGATTTACAAATATCTAAAGAGAAGAGGTACACCACCTTGGGCTCTAACCACATACATACACAAATACATTCACATTCTCATACACATTGTACTAGCCCTGAGTTATAAGCTGTATCTCTGTCAGGCACAATCAATAAATCTTCAAAAGAGAACTTGATTGGAAAGAACTAATAGGAATACTGATTACAATGGCCTGTGCCAATTCTTGCCATGGCCAGTCTAAATTGACTGCACTGAAACATTTTGTATAAAATAAAGTTCAGATTAAAGATCTCATAGTCATCAAATATAGTAACAAAGACTACCAGACATATGAGATTCTGGAGGGGCTAATTTCAGTAGTAATACATACAGCAACATTTTCACCACAAGACTATGTGAAGCCATGTATAGTTGCCCGATTTTTTTTTTTTTTAAATTCTTTATTTTTGTGTGCAAGATTTCACAAATGAGCCGTGGTGCCACAATAGCAGTCACGTACACAATTACAACAGATATTTCACATATGGCACATTAATGTCTGCACAATTTTTATAATGGTAATAGTAGAGTATTAAGCTTAGGCAAGTGGTGCTCCCGTTATAATCATCGCCAGTATTGACAGATTTGACAGTGGGAGCATGAACACAGATATATTTTAAGTTACATTTGGTTTCACTGAGATTTGCCTGGTTAATAGTTACACGTGTACAGGTTCTAAGCAAATGGTTGTACGGTTTCTAGCGTATCGCTTGGGCTAAGTGGTTTAACTCTAGCTTGGTCTACCTCGGGCGCCATCATGGATTGTGTGGTGTTAGTCTGCCTTCACTTTTCTGGACAGGTCTGGGGTCTTCTTGGTTAGTATCAGATGAGTTTGTCAGGGCTTGTGTGTACTGTAGTTGCCTCCGGTAGTGTGTGTCTGTCTTGAGTAGTGTCTTGGGTTGTGCGTATGTGTGTCTCTGCCTATTTTGTGCTGGTTTGTTGCTGTGTTAGTCCTGGTGTCTGTGCGTCTGTTGGTACCGTTTTGTTTAAGTATGTGTAACACTGGAGCAGCGTCTAAGTGTCCAACATAGAGTCCAGAAAAAGCATCTAGCCTTTGAATTGGGCATATAGTGTCTCTGGGGACCCGGTAGAAAAGACCCGGCAGGTTTCTCTCGTAGCCGTGGACACTCCTGGGGGTCTGCTTCTGCGGCTCGTGGGTTGAGTGCTTTCTTTGAAGGCCGCATAGGGGCTGGCATGGAACCCAGTATGGCGCTTCCTCCTGTGCTTTCGGGTCCGCCGCGACTGGAGCAGACGGTCGAGGTTGAAGCTTCTGGGCGGCCGCAGTCTGTGAGTGCTTGTGCGATAAGGTTGCATGGTGTGTGTACCACTGGCGTCCGGGGAGAATTTCCTCGATTCCCGCTCTTTGTCTACCGACATACAGCTGCTTGTCGGTGTTTCTCGTAGCTTAGGGTAGGTTGTTGGTTTGCGGGCTGCCAGCCAGTACTTCCACTTCATGGTCCCTGCAGGACTCGGTGGGACATTCTTCGTTTGCCCATGAGGTTGCACGCTGTCCGCCATTTTGGAGCGCTCCGTCCAGCTTGTGCTCTGCGGCCCTGTTTGCGCTTGGGCTCGGCAGACGACATTGGTGGTCGCCCGTGGGGACCGGGATAACCCCCACCGGTCCAAAGGGGGGGGGGATCGCAGGACGCCGTTCGGAGACCCGGGGGGGCGGCCGCTCTCGTAGGCCCCAGGCCTTGGTCGGGTTACTCCGGTGCTGTACCATATTGTGTGTGGTACCGTCTTGTGTGTCCCCATCTTGTGGACAGTTTGGGGTCCAATTGGGGTTGGTAGTGGCTTGTGGCACTGAGTTGGCTCCGATTCTCTGGCCCAGATCCTGGAGCTCAGACGAGACACGTCTGATCTGTTCAGCAGTCAGGCTCCGCCCCCCATAGTTGCCTGATTTACCACTTTTGTTTCAGATAAAAAATATAAATTACAAACCAATAATAACATAGATGTAAGGCACTCCCACACATGGCATACAATCCCTCCCCTCTGCCTGGGAGATAATTGAGTCAGATACTGTATTAACCCAATTATCTCCAGGCAGAAAAACATATTTTACAAAAAAAAAAAAAACACATGATATCCTCACAATTATTACATCCCCTGATAGCCCTGATCTGGGTGACCAACATATCCAAAAATCACACAGATCGGTTCAGGAATTTCCTGGAAGTCACATTTTGATCGTCCGCACGCATGGTTCCATGCCCAAAACAGTTCCAGAGAATTAAACTGTGCGGTCGGTCTACTTCAGGGATTCGAAGTAAAGTTCAACATACCGAACGTAGCCATTCGTGAGTACAGTCAGTGTATGTCTCTTGGTAGGGAGTTTCTGCTTACCGAACGCCGTTCGACTCCTGTTCGAATAGCCAAACATCCATGTAAGGTAAAAGTTTAGCAGTGTTCGCGCCGTCAAGTGTCCGATTTGAGTTCCATGCACTCAACGACCAAACACCACTGGATGTGTTTGACTAAACAAGATGGCCACCGCCACGTGTTTGAATGCCACTTCGAAGGGCTTCGGGAGTTCGAGGTACCACTTTGAAAGTTCGAATTGTTCCTGTTATAAGTCCAAGAGGCACAGCCAGAGTCTTTAACCCAAAGTTAATTTCAGGGGCCATAGTCACAGGGCAAGAGGCTGGCAAGTATGCCCCTCCAAGAACCCATGATGAGGTTCAGTTCGTCACAATGTGCATTAAAAGTTCTGATGTTTGTGATCTTAATGTGTTTTGCAGTTAAAATGTTTAGTAGGGCTAACACAAATAGTGGCTGGTACTGGAGAATATAGTGCCTAACTCTAATTCAGTCTAAAGTTTACCAGCTTCACTGGTAATAAACAGTAAAATATTTACATATTTGGTTGTTAATACTTACAGTGGTAAAATATCATGTGTCTGTCTCAACTTGCATGATTTGAGCACAGCATCCTGGTGCAGCTCCTTGAAGGGACACTTCGGGAACCAATACTATAATGCATTTGATAAGTTTTGGCCTCACTAATATGCTGTATCTTTTGCATTCTCAAATCTTTATAGTTTTGCAGAATGCTGCGCCATAGGCCTGCTTCTCTAGCCATACCCCTACAAATGTATGCACACAGCTCAGCCACTGACAGCACTGAATGATCTGAACGACAAAACAACCTGCATCAGAACAGGGCACCCAGGGAGGCATATAGTAAGGATATAACTACCTTTAATAGTGTTTGTAGTTTCTCTGTCTTTCCGCAGCCAGGTTGTGAATTAAAAGCCACTCACTCAGTACTGTTTGGACTGTGACTGTGTGCATACTTTTGATAAGGTGGTCTTTCTGGCATGAGGGACATGGCTAAAGTGGCGGGATTATAGTGCAGAGTTTTTTTGTGCAAAAATTATAAAGATTTGAGCATGTAAAAAAAAATACAGCATATTATTGAGGCCAAAATCTATCAAATACATTAAAGTTGTATTGGCCCCTAGTGTCCCTTTAAATGGCTAAAAACGAGATGTCCTGCAAGGTGTTAATGTTTGTGATATATCCCAGCTCTATAATTAAAGCAAACACAAAGGCAGACTAAGAGTCTGCATTGAACACAGGAGCAGAGATAGTTTGTTTTATTTGTAGTAATTTAACAAGTGTTATGATGATTAAATAAAACATACAGTAAGTCACATGAAACTGTTGCTGTATGTTTTGGTATGTTAATAATGGTCTTTCTGTATAGGTGCAATTTGTTATGATCCAGTATAGCTAGTATTTTGGTTTCTTCTTTCTTCCTTTGGAATCTGTAATTTTATTTTTGTGCCAGGGTTATAGTCTAAATTTACACTAAATCTGTAAGTTTTAATTGACTTAATTAACAAAATAGATATTCAAAATAACTAAAAAATATGGAGTACCGAATGTGAAGTAAAATCAACTCGTTTTGAGAATGTTTTCAGATTAGAGTAGTTTTAATTCATATCTAATACGGCGCTTAACTTTCTTGTGAAAACCAAGAAAGTGCTTTCCTCAATTCTGCAGATAAAATCCCCCGATGTCTTGATGAAGGAAAAAAACGCCCCCCAGTCCCTCTGCACACAGAACATCCACCCATGGGTGTTTACTCCAACAAGAGCTTCATCAAAACAAATGTAGCAGAAGCCGTCATGGCTGTGCCGAAGAAACCACAACCTATGTTGGTAGACACTAAAAAAGGGGATAAACTGCTCCTCGAAACTTCGGGACTTGTTCCCAAATACATCAAGAAAAAGGTAATATATCAAGTTTGAACTGCATGATGGCACATTTCCCTTTGTATGTAGTCTGCTGTAGCATCCTGTAAAGCCATTCAAAATACACATGCCCAGTACTTAATGTCACATAGTCATAGTTTTTGCATTCTACTAATATTGAGACTCGAAAGATGCTTGCAGGTTCCTTACAGATATCCTCATGCAAAGCCCTTGATATCAGGGCATACTGACAAAACCTAGATCCCTGAACATGCAGTATCTGTAAGATCAAAGTCCTGATGACCTTGTATATTTCATTTTCTTGAAAGGATTATGGATCTACTCCTGAATACTTAGTAAAACTGAATGAAGAAGTAATGAGAGCTCAGGAAGAGTATGACTCTTACGTGAAACAGCGTCTTAAAATGGGTGCTATGAAAGAAATCTCTGATGAAGAAAGGCAGACTGTACTTCAGGTATGCTTTTGTGCATGTATAGGTTATGTGTTTTATTTTTTTGCGACCTTGACTCAACACTGGGGAAAAATTGAAGATTATATTAGCTTTAGTGTACTAATAATCTTAATTTTAGTAATGACAGGAGGCGAATATTTGCATATCTTTCTTTACTGAAAACTCCAGCAGCATAGAAACAGTAACAACCAATCAGAAAAAGATATGATGCCCATAAAAGGCCCTGTCTATGACATCACTTCCTCTTTCTTTGAGGCGAAACAGAATATAACAGTAAGAACATAAACAACTATAGGTAACCGATCAATAACATAACAGGGGACATGACTTCGGTAACTTTCCGATGAATTGGTATGGTAGATGAGTCTTTGTCCTGACGAGAAGATGTTCACGCTGAAAGAAAAAGAAAAAAGTGAAAGGTCTCTATAGTGGAAACTTGTCCGCATATAATAACCGATCAGATTCTGATAATCTCAATGACTAGTATGTAGAGAAAATTGTTAATACTATATACAATTCGAACTATAATACATGTAATAATGAAAACATAACATACATCAAGGAATATGAGCAAGAAACCAATTAACCAGTACGAAGAACAGTTACCTGTCTGAGAAATAAAACCGTCTTAATGTGCATGTCTTCCTGAACCCTAAACCCGATGTGTGTAATGTGGAATAACCTGGGGGGGGGTCCTATAGGGTGGGAAATATTCGCCTCCTGTCATTACTAAAATTAAGATTATTAGTACACTAAAGCTAATATAATCTTCAATTTTACCACATGACAGGAGGCTTCATATTTGCATTTTTAAAGCTTGGAATTAATCAATGTGAAGGAAGCATGAGACGTGTGGCGAAAGTAAAATGTCCGGAACGTACTTTCCCTAGACCAGTCTGCGCAGCGCATGATGTCTGTCAGTGAAGCGCCTGCTAATAGAGCTTGCGAGGCTGCCGCACCTCTGACCGAGTGGGCACCGAAGTAAGGTTCAATGCCAGCTAACGTTAACAGCCAGCGGACCCACCTCGCTAGTGTCGTCGTAGATACTGGTCTGTGGGGTTTAACATATGAGATCAGGAGTTGGCCCGTTGCAGTAGTGCGGAGGGGAGCCGAGATTTCGGTATATCTCATAAGTGTTCTGACCACGCATAACTTGGGGTCAGATCCGAAGTATGGATATGTTATAGAAGGTGAATCTGACTTAGTTCTTCTTGATATGGAGAAGGTAACTCCTTCTGGAGTGAGGGAGAAACCGTCTACATCGAAGGCCCTAACGTCCGCTACTCGTCGGAACGAGACGAGACATAATAGAAGGGTAAGTTTGGCCGAAAGTTGCTTGAGCGATAGATAGTGGTTGTCCGGCCATTCTCTCAAGAATTTGAGTACTATATCCCCCTGCCAGAGGCGTGAATACTTGGGTGCCGGGGGTCTTGACAGCTTGGCACCTCGTAGCAGTCGGCACACCAGTGGGTTTTGGCCCACGGGGTTGCCTTGCACTGGGACGTGTGCCGCTGATATGGCTGATCTGATCACATTGAGGGATCGGTATGATCGGCCTAAAGCGAACAGATGGGAAAGGTAGTTAAGGATTAATGGGATAGGGGCAGTAAAGGGATCGGAGTCCCTTTCCACGCACCAATTACACCAGGCAGACCAGGCTGAAATGTAGCATTTCCTGGTGCCGGGAGCCCATGAGTCCCATAGGAGATCCTTAGCTGACTGTGATAGGCCGATGACCGACCAGGATCCCCTGAAATCGTCCAGGCCACCAGTTCTAATTGTCTGTTCAGGACGAGATCGTGGGTTTCCCCTCGAGGTCCCGTCAGAAGTAGAGGGAAGTTCGGAAGCAGCAGTGGGGTCTCCTGAGACATCTCTAGCAGCTCTGGGAACCATGGTTGACTCCGCCAGAAGGGCGTCACTAGGAGGAGGGATATCCCGTGAATGCGCGTGTGTCGGAGTACGCGTGGGATCATGGAGAATGGTGGGAAAGCGTATCCCCCTTCCATGGGCCAGGTTTGTAGAAACGCATCTGCGGCTTCGCCCTTGGGGTCTGGAAGCCAACTGTAGTATCTCGGTAGTTGGTGATTCGTCCTGGAGGCGAACAGGTCCAATATTAGTGGTTCCTTCCGTCGGTGTAGCTCCCTGAAGACTTCCACGTTGAGTTTCCAATCGCTGTTGTCTCGCCAGTGACGTGAGAACCAGTCTGCCGTCAGATTGGAGGTTCCCGGCAGGTATTCCGCCTGTAGGGTGATGTTCCGTGTCAGGCAGAAGCTGAAAATCTCTTTCGTGGCTTCTGTTAGTGCCCTTGACCTTGCTCCGCCCAGGCGGTTGACGTATTGTACCGCCGAAATGTTGTCCATGCGGAGCAGAATGCAACAGTTCGACTTGTCTTTGGCCAGGCTGCGGATCGCGAAGGATCCTGCGATCAGTTCCAGGCAGTTGATGTGTAGGTTCGTCTCCTCCCCTTGCCATGGGCCTCCCGTGGAGGCGTCTGTGCAGTGTGCGCCCCATCCCCACAGACTGGCGTCTGACTCCACGATGAAGTCCGGGGACGGGCCGAATATCGCCTTGCCATTCCAGGTTTGTATGTGTAGTAACCACCATCGAAGTTCTGCTCTCACTTCTGTCGACAGTGGGATCCAGTGGTCGTATGAATGTCCCGTGCGTAAGTATTTCGCCTTCAGTCGTTGCATGGCCCTGTAGTGTAGGGGTCCCGGGAATATCGCCTGTATGGAGGATGAGAGAAGCCCTACTATCCGGGCGAGCATTCTGAGCGGTATCGTATCCATCTTTAGTACCCGTCTGATTTCCTTCCGTATTGAGGCTATCTTCGTTGCCGGTAGTCGTAGCACGCAGTCCTTCGAGTCGATGTCGAAGCCCAGGAATTGGATCGACTGGGAGGGAGAGAGAGACGATTTTTGCCTGTTCACTACGAAACCCAAGGATTCCAGTAAGTGAACTACAAATTTCGTCTGCGATCGTAGTCTGGAAGCGGATTCGCAAAAAATCAGCAAATCGTCCAGGTATACGAGACAACGTATGCCCAACGTTCGAATGTGAGCCATCACCGGTCTCAGCAGTTTCGTGAAACACCACGGCGCCGAGCTGAGGCCGAACGGCAGGCATGTGAACTGGCATGTGTGTCCTCTCCATAGGAAGCGAAGGAAGCGTCGGCAGTTGGTGTCCACCGGTACGGATAGGTATGCGTCTTTGAGATCTAGACGCGTAAACCAGTCGTTCCTGGTGAGAAGGTCTTGTAACAGATGTATTCCCTCCATCTTGAAGTGTCTGTACACCACGTAGGTGTTCAGGTTTCGTAGGTTGATGACTGGTCTGTAGTCGCCGGTTTTCTTCTTGACTAGGAAAATGTTGCTTAGGAAACTTCCTTCTCTCGGGGCGAATTGGATCGCGCCCTTTTTGAAGAGTGTGTGAATCTCTTCGTCTACTAGGCGCTTTTGGTCCGCCGACATGTGCATCGGAGTAGGGGGAGTGGTTTGCATGGGTTGCGTGTAAAACTCTATCACGAAGCCTTTCACCGTCTGGAGAACCCAGGCATCCGTGGTGATGAGTCGCCAGTTCTGTAAGAAAAGGGATAGGCCACCTGCTACAAAATTTGATACAGATTGGTATGTAAGTGGACTCACCATTAGAGAAACGGCTGCGTCCTCGACCTCTGAAGCCTCTGGTTCTTCCCGTACCTCTGTACGATGGTCTCTGTGTTGTGGACGGGAAAAAGCTTGGAGCTTGTGGGTAGGATCTGGAACCTGTCGTCCAGAAGCGGCTGGTGGCTCGGTTCCGTTGCCGACCAGCCCTCCCAAAAACACCTCTTCCTGCGGGGGTGTGGAAGACCTGCTTGAGCGAGGTTTGAGCCTTGTTCAAGGTGGTGAAGAGGTTGACGTGCTTCTTAAGCTCCGTGATGAAATCGTCGCCAAATAAAAGGCCTTGCGCCTTCGGGCCGAATTCCTTTGCCCCTAGATCCAGGAGCTTGTTGTCTATGCGTATTAGCGCTGACTTGCGTCTTTCGGTGCACAATGCCGCGTTTGCGTTGCCCAGTAGGCAAATTGAACGCTGAGCCCATTCCCGTATTATATTTTGGTCCAGCTGTGAGCCTTGGCTGAGCGCTAAGTCTGCAAAATACAGCATCTTGGTGATGGGGCCTAGTAAATCTAGCACTTTGTCCTGTGCCGCCTTTAAGCCTTTTTCCACGCCTTTTCGGGGGTCCCGTCCCGAACGTGACATGAAGACCACCACCGTGTTGTCAAATTCGGGCGTGAGTGCTATCTTGTCGGGTAGCAGTGGTCTGGGGCACTCGGCTTTGAGGCGTGCTCGCACCTCTTTCTCCAGAGGCTTACGTAGCCAGTAGTGTACAAACTTCGTTAGGTGGTCTGGGAGGCTCCACTCCGAGGAGCGAGGGTGTCGGATACTTCGGGGGTCGAAGAGGGGGTTTTTTCCCTTTCCTGTTTGGGTGACAGAGGTGAAATGTCAGGATATATGCTAGATATGGGTATCTGGAGTGCCCAGCTCCTTGTACAACTGGGGTTCATCCAGGGTAGTTGCCCGTTCTAAAGTGGGGCAGAACGTAAGGCTCTGAGATTCGGTAAGGCCACCCTATAGGCAGGGTGGTCCGGTGTGTGTCAGTGGTGGTGGTGCGTATGGACTCACCACAGTTGTACATCAGAGCCGTATGCACGGATTGTCATCAATAATAATAAATATCAATGTAATAGCGTAGTCCCACGTGCATGTAGTTGGGGTTCACCCCAGGTGGTGTGCCATGGATACCAGAGGACACCCACTTAATAGTAAATGGTCTGCGTGACCTAGCATGCTTGTCTGGGGGGTCACCCCAGGTGGTGTGCCATGTAAAAATACCCAGAGGACACCCACGTTTGTGTGTACCTATAGGTACAGTAATGCAGTATGACCCTGTGTAGGGTATATCAATGTGCTCAGTCTCCTTAATATACTGTATATGTTTTACATTTGCTGTGTATTGGGACTTGCCCAATTGTAATGCATGCTTTTTGTTTGTCCTCCCAAACCTCTGGGTCTCTGAGGGTGAAAATCTATAATAGTAACCCTAATGGGCCCAGGGTCCTTTAATATTCCGTGTGTGCAAGCCAGTGTCGGCACCTGGGAGAGGAGGACAAGGTTAGGGGGTGAGCAGGAGTGCTGATCGGGTGAATCCCGATCCGCAGTGAGCGTACAGAGCGGCCGTCTTGTATCTCGCGAGCCGCGAGATCCAAGATGGCCGCCGCTCGCGATCGAAGCAGCGCGACGGAGCTCGCGTTCGCGGGTCCGGAGCGCGGGGTGTAGGAGGTAAGGGGCCCGGCCTCCCTCCACCCGTCCCCACACCCTCCCTGAGAGTCTATGAGGTGGGTCCGTGGAGCGCACGCGGCACGGCAGCCGGGCGCCCGCGGACTGCACAGGAGATCAGTGAAAACAAAAGGCTCGGTATTGAAAGGAGAGTTAAGAGGGAGGGGGACAGGTATAGGAGGTCCAGGGAAAAACAATGTAGGTAAAATAAGGTCAAATAAAGGAAAAAACAGTACAAAATTATTAAGTATCCCTAGAGGGAAAAAATACTCTGACCTGTGTAGGCTGGAGCAGCAAAGAAAGAGGAAGTGATGTCATAGACAGGGCCTTTTATGGGCATCATATCTTTTTCTGATTGGTTGTTACTGTTTCTATGCTGCTGGAGTTTTCAGTAAAGAAAGATATGCAAATATGAAGCCTCCTGTCATGTGGTAAAATTAGAGCATGCACCAATAGCCCTAATTTAAAGAAACTTCCTTTTTTCAAGCCAGTTTTTTGAATGGGGAGTCACTGATTGGCTGATAGCGTCATCTGACCGCTATCAGCAAATCAACGGCTTCCCTTCCCGGCGCACTCAGAAACTGAGATTTAAGAAGCCAGATTGGCACTAGAGACAACTTTGGAATTAAACCATTTGCGAACGATTTAACCCCTGAAGGTAAGAGTGCCACAGGGGCCTCCTGGCACCATAACAACTTAATTTAGATGAAGATGTTATGGAGCCTACTTGGCCTAAACGGTCCCTTTAATAAGCATCATGCTTAAAGCCATGCTTTGAGGAGGGATTTTTGTTCTTGTTTTGTTGTATATTCTGTCAAACTGTCCTGACCTTATTTGCGGGTGTCACTATTGATTGTGATACTTTATTTTAAAAAGTTGTCTCATCCCCTTTAAATGCTATAAGGAACTATTACATGCTTATCTCCTTGCATAGATCAGGTCAGTTTGACAAGATTTCATGTGACACTAAACATTTTACATCATGCCCCATTGTTTGGTAAATAGCTTCTTTCAGATCAGCATGCAGTTTATAGAAGGAATGATCCTGCTGCTCTGTGGATTTCATGACATTTAGAAGCCAGGTTTTTAAATGTTCCTTTAATTTAATTAAAAATGTCTTTTGGGAGCACATAGATGATACAGGCCCGTGCGGTAGATTAGATGAACAGAAGCTTTGGTGATTAACCCTTAAAGAAATTGTAAGGTTGAATATTATTTTTAAGGGAAAATGTAAGCAAATTTAGATTAAATTAATTGGATTTGGATTTATTAAACTTTATTTCATAAATAGCATGTATTATTTCAATTATATACTGTATAGAGTTCTCAGCTCCACCTCTTATTAATAACATCAAAACCAAAGTCTGTCTTCCTGCCATTGGCAAGGATAGAATACCATATGAGTTACATGCTGGTTCCATTCAGCCTTAGAATTTGATTAAAGGGAAACTATAGTGCCAGGAAAACAAGCTTGTTCCCCCCACTTCAGTAAGCTGAAGGGTCTGGGTGCCTACACTGTCACTTTAAGAGCCTATGCACTGAGGCCCAGTTCTCCTGAATGATCTGAACCATTTAGTGAACCATGCTACCAGAACAAGGCTAGCATGTAAACATTTCACATCTATTCTGAAACAAAATTATTTTGAAACATAGACCTGATCTTTACAGTGGAAATTTAAAGCAGCAGTGTCAATGTCTGGGGACTTTGACAAATTTGCAAAGACCCCAAAGGCGACAACGTCGCTGGGGTCTGGTGGCGCAGGTAAAGGTGAGATTTATTTACCTGTACCAGTCCCTCGTGGGTGCAGCTATCTTGTTCTGACTGGTCCTCTTCAGGTTCAGCATGCACAAGAGTACAGCTTTAAGGTCCACGGAGGATCCCGCAAGACCACGGGATCCTCTATAGACAGAGCCAATTCTCTATCAGGATTGACACTGTAGCTCCGCTTAAGGTCTAAGGAAGTCAGGCGGAGGAAATATACAGAGGCAAAGTTTGTCTCTGTATATCTCTTGAGTTTGTTGGAATTTCAACACTGTCAAAAATATTATTTCATTCAATCCTCATTAAATACAAATACTTGCTGTACCTAAAAAACCCATTGATATTTGTGCTTTTACATGATTACACTCACTGCTGAAATTGCACGTATAAGTAAAACAATCAAGCATAAATCATATATCTGTTGTTTCTTTTCAGGGCCTCAAGAAAAATTGGGAAGAGTTGAACCACGATTATCAAGGTCTTTCTGTTGTTATTGATACACCTGCTAAAAAAGCCTACAAAGAACGGCTTGAAAAAGAATTGACAAAATTAGAACGAGACATTCAAGCAATGGAGAAACACAAGGTTATCTACATTGCAAACAATTAACAACCGTTCAGGTTGGCCATCACTCTGCAACCAGTCAACATTGCTTCGCTAATAAATTATTGACATTTATACTGACCATAGTTGCATCCTTTTTACTATTTGTGAACATGATTTTTTTTTTTTACTATGCATGTGATTATTATAAAATGCATGGATTCCTTTTTATTCCTAATTTTAGATGATTTTTCCTATTTACATGACATGTATTTACATAGTGGCAAATAGAAGTTTTCAAACCAGCTCTGAATAATTTACTAACTTGCAGCAAAAAGGAAAATATAAAATAGTAAATAAAACATTACATTGATGACAATTTTGTTTGTAAATAGTCATATCAAATGCATGCCTTTTAACAGTCACGCTTTCGGTGTGTACAGGTTTGGGGGTCCTGTCCCACTTTAGTTCCCCTTATGTCTCGTATCCAGATACACCATAGAACTGTCCCGGGCAGAAAAGTGCTTGCGCATTATTAGACATGCTCGCACTGTGAAGCGGGCAGTAGGACCATACGAAGAGCACTTCAGCTGCGCTACCTGCATAGTCCTGTCAGTAAGGAGCTGGCCAGACAGACTGCCATACCCCTTTAGTGGGTGGACCCACCCCTTTCTCAGGTGGACACGCCCATTACTCGTGCTCTTTGCTCATGTATGCAGGAGTCTTGTACTTGATACGTTGAACCCTCTCTCTGAGGGTAGTACTAACTGTGTTTGTTCACTGCTACTGTATGCTCTAAAACTCAATAAAATATATTAATGGGAAAAAATAAAAAAATATATAATACATACACTTTGGCATTGATTTAATATTGTTGGATGCGCTTTCCAAATGATTTAATATTTTTCGGAATAACTTTTCAAATGACTTTTTTTCAACGTATTAATATATCAAAACCTATATCATGAGGCTGAACTCGCAAGGAGTATATTCATGTGTGAATTGTGATAATTATGTATTCATCCTCATGCTGACCTTTTCTACTTGTGTGTATGTCTGGTATACCTCCTATTGAATTGCTATGTACCTTCCTATTTCCTCAATAAAAACAAAAATTGACACAAAAAAAAACACCTTTATCATATAAAAAAAATATACATATTCCAAAAAAAATCATTTAAATTATAAAAATAATGTAATATTTGTCATAATATTAAACAATTTCAAAAGTTTATCCAAAATATTAGATCATTTGGAAAGCTTTTTTCAACAATATTAAAGGAATACTATAGGGTCAGATATTCAACCATCTAGCTCCCCCGCCTCCCATCCCCTGCCACCCGCTCGCCCCCATAAATATAGTAAAATCTTACTTTTATTCCAGTATGCTGCTGCTGGCTCTGCCCCTAATCTACCTGCTTGGCTGACATCATCAGAAGTGATTCTCTCAGCCAATCACAATGCTTTCCCATAGGAAATCATTGGATTGGCTCAGATTGTCAAGGAGGTAGATCGGGGCAGAGTCAGCACAAGCCAAACACAGCCCTGGCCAATCAATAACTCCTCCCATATAAGGAGTGTCCACTGAAGGTATCCCTAGGCTGTAATGTGAGTAGTTCTGGTTACTATCGTGTCCCTTTAAATGAAGGCTTTAGGCTGGAAATAAAATAACTTTTTATTCAGACAGAAGCATGTTGTCTGTCAAGCTTGCTGACAGTCGTTACGCTCTCTAATTGCAGTAGAGCGACAAAAAAACTACAATCACTTTGCTAACAGTAACATAACCACATTGTAGCAAAAGGTTGGATAGCTTTAGAAAAATAATCATCTGTACCTAGTAGGTGACTGCAGAGAGCCTCAGATGCAGGAGAGAGATGTATTGTTCAAATCAAAACCACTAAAAGAAATTTAGAAAATGGGGGATGGCACCAAAATTCTCATAATACCATAACCACTGCAATGTACTTGGTATTTTATTTAGAATGCTCTTTTAAGCAATTGTTTATTGAAACTTTAATGTTACAATAAGCCAAGTATTACTGATTTTATATGTGGTTATGCCATATGGGCCATGTTACAGGTCACGCTATGAAAGTGGGGAGGGTGTGGATATGAAGGGTTACTAGCTCTCTGTCTGTGAACTTACTGACGCTGTCCTCCTACAGGGTAACACTTTACACCAACTTAACATCCAAATCCTACTTACACCTCACCTGGTCACTCAGTTGCTGCCATCAACAAGATTTTATATGGGCATTTTCAGTTACTCCTTAAAGTAGGAAACAATCTAAGCACCATCACCACTACAGTAGCTGTAAAAAATGTAGATGAATGGATGTTCATGTAGAATCTTCTTAATTTCTTCTTATCTTCAGTTGATTGATATATATACGTCTTTTGTATATATATTCTTGGGCCAAATGCTCGCCACAATAATATATGTCTATATTATTGAAAAGTAGTAATACGCAATCTGACTTACGGTTTCTTCAGGTTTATTCTTTGTTACGGATACATAATAAAACATAATAAATGATGTTACAGGATAATGGACATTCAACAGCAGATGGTAATTGCTGGACTTCTGATGGGAGAGTTACATCGTTGTACAGAGCCAAGAGCCAAGCCAAGAGAGAGCGACCTCCTGTCCCTCTGTTACTATATAGAAGTACTAATACTAACGTCAGCATATAACTCTAGCCATATAAGGACAAAACCCCCGAATCCACATTCCAGAGCTCTCGGACAAAGAAAGCCTTGTGACTTATTGATGCCATCTGTTACTTATGTCAATCCACACATCCATATATATAATCAATAGAAACATAGAATATGCAATATTCTACAGTAGCCCTTTAAAAACAGAACACGCCTACCAGTCAGTGCTTGGTTGTTTTGTTGCCTACCTCGAACTCCTAGCGTTATTTACACAGTCAGTGCTCCCTGACTTTTGCTTGCCTTTTGGCCTCACCGTTTGCTGCCTGCCCTGACCTCTGGACTGTCTCTGGTTACTGCCAGACCCTTGCTCGGAATTTGTTTTTCTATGCCATCACCAACCCGACAGAATCCTGTTCTCCTGCTGTTACTGCAACTGAGTTCCAGAACCAAACACAGCTCCTGTGGTTTATTACAACTATATTTTCCACCAAAAGAGAATAAAAACATTCAAAATGAGATATTAATGTTTTGAGAAGGAACACATAATATAAAACTCCTTGTTCATTTAAAGGAGCACCATAGGGTCAGGAACACAAACATGTATTCCTGATGTTGTAGTGTTAAAACCACCATCTAGCCCCTCCCCCCTGGATTTTCCTTACCTCCCTAAATATAGTAAAATCATACTTCTATTCAAGTCTGCTGTTGCTGCTGCTGCTGGCTCTGCCCCGGTCTGCCTGCTTGGCTGACATAATCACAAGTGGTGGTCTGAGCCAATCACAATGCTTCCCCATAGGATTGGCTGAGACTGTCAAGGAGGCAGATCAGGGGCAGACCCAGCACGATTCAAACACCGCCCTGGCCAATCAGCATCTCCTCATAGAGATGCTTTGTGAGGAAAGTTCAGTGTCACCATGCAGAGGGTGGAGACACCGAATGGCAGTGTTGCACTGCCCCAGGAAGCACCTCTAGTAGCCATATGAGGAGTGGCCAGTGGAGTTATCCCTAAGCTGTAATGTAAACTACAGAACAAATACACTGAGGTCTGCAATAAGAACCTTTGAGGTCTCTTTAAAAATAAGAAATATGGTTGATACCACCACACACATACATGTTCCCAGTCACACAGATATATTCTCACAGACACAAGCATAAATATACATTCCCATACATAATCACACACATTCAAATAAACACTGACAGAGACACACCCATGCACACAGCCATAAAGAGACATAGACACACAAGAATACTCACTGAACAACCGCACACACATTCAGATAGAGACTGCCAGGCAGACATACCCACAGATACATAACAGGTGCACTCCTCTCTATTACACTGTTACGATATGTAAACATTCAGATCCTGATAGCAGCAAAAGTCAGTGCTCGGTCCGAAAAGTCACCATAATGCAGTTTACCATAAGGCCAAGCAACTTTATGAATTAAAAAAGGGCTTTTTCATGTCTGGTTTTCAAAGTGAATTTCAAATATAGACAAAAATAGTGGAAATAAAATAATAATAATAACAATAACTGAAAACACTTGGATATTTGTTTTTACTACCTACTTCTCTATGAGAAGCCTTTGATTGGATCTCGCGACGGCTGCTGTAACGTCAGACAGGGAAGATCGGAGCAGCGCCGGGATCTTAGTCAGGTAAATTTTAGCTTATTTGATTATTTATTTTAGAATTTATGGGGGCTACCTAAATAATAATGCTCACCAATAGGGCATTATGACTTTTTTAACCCCTTAAGGACCAAACTTCTGGAATAAAAGGGAATCATAACATGTTACACGTCATGTGTCCTTAAGGGGTTAAAAAAGGATTAAAGTAACCCCTTAGATTTATTTTTTTATCTATCTCGGCTAGATAAGCAATGTCCCTGTATCTATCTATCTATCTATCTATTCCTGCATCTGTCCCATTATTTGTATTAAATCCATTATACTTTGCCTTGTTTAAAATACAGGCACTCTCTACAATTAAAACATTTTTCTGCAATAAAATTGCACAACTATTAATAATTTTTGTTGGTCATTGTAGAAAGCCACAAATTGCAACACTAAAAATGTGAAGAGTAAAAATAAATATATAAATAAAATAACCCCACCCCCACAAATACAACAGTTACATGTGACAGGAGCTATGCTTTAATGCCTGAATAAAAGTTAGCCACACTAAAATTCATTTTTTTTTTTTTTTTTATAAATTACAGAGTTAAATAAAATGAGGAGCTATGTCTTGAGGTTTCAATTGGCAATGCATTGCTTTAGGGAATTCTGGCTATTTTGCTTAACCCTTTTAAAGCCAGATATGATGGCTCACATTACAGAAAAATCCAAGAAGCCACATTCCATTGTGGAACTGAAAGGGTTAGGAAGAGTTCTTTTCAATGCCAACGAAATACATAGAAACAAGCCTGTCTTTGAGCTAAGCCCTCCTCCCCCCAGCTCAGCCAACTAATGACTTTGATTCCTCCTTTTTGTCCTTTTCTGCAGACGGAAGACAGGCTGAGGTGAGTCTGAGTTTTGGGGTTTTGGAGTTGAACTTCCTAATTCTTAGAGGTGTCTGTCAGTGCACACTGGATCTGATCAAATGTCTGCTTTGGGAGTTTGCAGACTGGTGTACTCTGTGGACACACGTGGCTTGCGTTCTGTGAAGGGTTGTGTAATAAAAATGGAGATTGTATATAAACCTTACAATCTGTTTTTTTTTTTTTTTCTTTCCTTAATTGAATTCACCAGGGGAGTATTATTCACCTAATTGAGACTTGTTGTGAGTTGACAACTGACTTGCAAAATGTAGGCCAGAATGACCATAGTTGAAAAATCTCTCCAGAATCTTTAAGGTAAAAGTCATGTTGGGACAGCACAGTTCACATTTCATGAATAAACCCCTGCTTGTTAAAAGGTGTGACTCTGTGAAATCACAGGAATATAGCAGTGTGCAATTGTACTGTACAGATGACTTTCTGTTCTAACAGAATAGGAGAGTGGGATTATAGACTATAGTTGAAGTTGAGTGGTTACAAGTTGAGTACTTCTGTGATTTTAAGTGGTCATGATGATAGGAGTCTGTATGTGCAGGGTTCCTAATATCTATTTTGTGAAAACTGTACATCCGTTGTCAGCTGGCGACAGACATGGTCACATTGTCCCCTTGCAGGCATGCATACCTATCAACGCTTTAAATGGAAAAAGAGAGACGCTTTCATTTTAGAGGTGTGATTAGGACGGGGCTGTTCTAAGAAACGTTAGGTGACTTATTAATAAAAATGATTCATGCTGCTGAAATTTAATTTAGAACAATGCATCTTATTTACACAGACTGATATCTAAACACAGTTATTGTTGTTTAATGACTCATTACTGTGAGTGTTATTGCTGTGGAGCTCTGTTATACACTCAGGCACACCAACAGTACAGAGCTACTAGAAAAGAGGGACAGAGGGATATGGGCACAACATAGGGACTGATTCTCCTAAATAGGGACACTTGGGAGAGGTGTGTGTGTGTGTGTGTATTTTTTAAGTAAAATATCCCTCCGTCTTTTCCCTTCCCAATCCGTCCTGTCCTCTCACTGGCACAGAGCACAATGAGAAGCATTTAATTGGACGAGGACCATAAATTACATCTCCAGGCCTGTGGCCTGCTCAGAGTCTGATGCAGTATGTGTGAATACTATAGTATGGTGGATGCCGTGTGTGTATAGTTTAGAGGCAGCTGTGTGTGTGTATAGTATGGTGGATGCAGTGTGTGTGTATATATAGTATAATTATGATTGGTATTTATATAGCGCCAGCTTATTCCACAGTGTTTTACAATAAGAGGGGAATTTACCAACCGAGACAGTAACAAAATGTAACAGGAACAATAGGTAGTAGGACTCTGCTCAAATGAGCTTACAGTCTAAAGGAGGTGGGGTATAAAAACAAAATAGGAAGGGTATTGAGGGAGACAGCAAACAGACATGGTGAGAAAGTAGCAGAGCTGGATGGAGGCGAGAGTGGAGTGTGGCCCTATAGGAGAGAGCGAGAGGAAGGTCTGAGAGATAGAAGTTACTCTTGGAGGCCATAAGCAATCCTGAAAAGATGGGTTTTAAGGGACGTGTTAAAGGATTGAAGACTAGGGGGAGTCTGACAGGGGTAGGCAGGCTGTTCCAAAGGAAAGGAGCCGCTCGTGAGAAGTCTTGCAGGCATGAATTTGCAGTAAGGGTGGTGAATCGTACCTCTGGTGGGAGCAGTAGCATGATGTTTTCCTGAGTCCATCATACATGCTGCTGTTTTGTATACCTGTTCAAGACTTTTGTATACCTGTTGAAGATGTTTGGTAGACATATATATATACAAGCTATTTGCAAATTCAAGGAATGTGGAGATGAACGAATGGACCTGTGATCCAAGATCTGATCCTGGTTCCAAGATTTGACTATTGCAGACATCCTCTCATGTAGGTTTAGGCTACATTGGTTTCAGTAACCGGGCTGTAGATGCAAGCATAAACTCTGTTGTATCTGGGTTGAGACTGGGAGTGAGTATGTCTTCAGTCATATAGTAAGAAATAATGACACAGGAGACATGCTGTATCTGCAGACAGATTTTTGCTGTGGTCATCGAGGGTGTGTCCACAAAAGTCTGACCTCTCAAGGTGGTTCTGTAGCTAGACTGTGCTGACTTTTTAGATCCTTTTCCAGAATGCCATTACTGGGCAATGTGTGTGTATACATTTGCCTGTGAGTCTGTGTATGTGTAAATACATAAAGGAGAGACATGGCACTCTAGGGGAAAGAATTCCAAATTTAACTCCAGAGTAACCGAGCTGAAAGCATAGCTGACTTAGAGATTTATTTTTTTCAGCTCAACTATTTTTACCTTAAATTTGAAATTCACTTTACATTTTCACTTTTAATAAATAACCCTGATAGCCACATTCCGGAGGTGCCGGAAAAACATGTATAATCAAATTCAGTTGCAAAATGAACCATTTATTCTATGTACATATGTTTTGTTTTTTTAGGACCAGAAAGTGATCCCACAAATCCCTTCTGTTGATCTTCATCAAACTGCCTTCTTATAAATATGTGTGAAAACAACGGATCAAGCTTCCCCTGCTCTACACATCGTGGACTTGTGGTATCTAAATATTTTCTACTTCTTTAACTATTAGTATTCTTTCATTTTTGATAATATTACAAATATTTCATTGTTTCCTTGTTATTTGTTTTAGTGTTGTAGCACACACAATACAGGTTTAAAAGGACACTATAGTCACCAGAACAATTTCAGCTAATTGCATTTGTTCTGGTGAGCATAATCATTCACTTCAGGCTTTTTGCTGTAACTCGACTAGCCACTCCTCATATGACCACTAGAGGTGCTTCCTGGGGCAGTGCTGCACAGTGTGACTGAGATTCAGTGTCTCCACCCTTTGCATGCAGACACTGAACTTTCCTCATAGAGATACATTGATTCAATGCATCTCTATGAGGAGATGCTGATTGGCCAGGGCTGTGTTTAACTTGTGCTGGCTCTGCCCCTGATCTGCCTCCTTTGTAAAACTCCACTATGCCTATCAGAAAGTCTCAGAGACACCATCTGATTGGTGCAGTGTGTCATTATGCCGCACATGCGCACTAGCCTCCTAATACTAGCCTGCCTATGATAAAGCATTGGATTGGTTGAGATTGATGATCTCGGCCTAAAAAGCAGAGCTTCCTTTTTTTTTTTCTTTTTTTTTTTTTTAACATTTGCTGTGGCTGTCTGATCACCTAAACAGTGACTAGTATACTATAGCGGTAGGAATACATGGTGCTTGTCCCGAGCTTAGACACTGCATGTGCCCCTGGAGAATATACATAGTTTGTAGCATCTCTGTTGTTAAACCTCTAATGTGAGAAAGTCATGATTGTTATTTTTATAGTTTTTTTTGGAGAGTGCTGTGCCAGGCCTATGTGGGAAATAAATCAGTGTACAAATGCACAGTAGTCTTTAGTAAGTATGCCAATGCCCAATTTACTGCAAATATTTACAGTATTTTTCTGGCGTATAAGATGACTTTTTAACCCTGGAAAATCTTCTCCAAAGTCTGGGGTCGTCTTATACGCCGGGTATAGGGTCTATATAGCTGCCGGGGGCGCCCTGCTAATGCCGGCCCTTCTAATGCTGCAGCCGCCTGAGCGCTCTATAGAGAGCGCTCAGACGGCTGCCGCACTGCCTCTCTTCTCACCTCCCCTTCCCTGTGCAGAGTGGGTGACCGAGCTCCTCTTCGTCCTGTCAGTCCGGCCAGGTACCACGCGGTACAGGAGATTCAGTTACCTGTTCCCGGCCGCACTGAAAGGAAGTGCACACTGAGTGCAAATATTTTGGTCTAAAATGTATAATTCCATTTTCAAATTTCCACTAGTCCCAGTTTAGTGTACACAATTGTGTGTATTATCTTTTTTTCGGTCACTTCAGATATATCTATGAATCCATTTTTGTTTATGCCTCTTCACAGGCTGGAGCTGACATGTGAATTTTAAATTGGGTGTGTGATACAGATAATACATTCAAAATATATGTATAAAAATAAAATGCTAAAAGAATAACGGATTCTCACACATGAAGTTCCTGTTTACGTAATAAATCACCAGGCTTTGAAACTTTTGTAGTGAGCACTGGTCAGACCAGGAAGTATCTGGGGAAGGCCCATTTTGATGTCCCTTTAATCTCCTCTGGCATTGTTCAGCTTTTTCCACAAATTCTTGCACAGCAGGAATTTTAAGAACTGGTCGTTCAGTGTTTCGCAATTCCTCTATGGAAAACTAACAAGCGACTTACTACTCTCAGAACCCTATCCTGTGTATAACATTCAGCTGTATTATTGGAGAAAAGTTGGAAACTAAACAAGTTAGGAAGGAAGTACCGAAGTAGTGGGCCTATGAATCTTAACTGTGTAGTATTTAAAAATATAAATAAGACTAATGAATAATAACCATCAGGGTAACTAGCTGTAACCAACGCATTGCACTTAACGTGGGTGTGTGGAGTGTCACTTTAATGGTTAATCTGAAATAAAAGATTAAAATCCCAAATCCAGCTACAGTGAGATGTGGGGGAGAAAAAGCAAACGCTGACTTTCATGCTCAGCATCTTAAACAGAACAATAATCCTGACTGTTTGTCTCAGACTTTATGGCTCTGAGCAGAATCTGTGGCTGAAGCTATGAGATAGTGGAGGACTAGCTGTCAAACCATCTGCGTTCTAAAAATGTACCTTTTGTCTTCAAAGCCAATTCATTGTTATTAAAATGGCACTGCCATACATTACGTCATGCATTCCACTAAATACATTGTAATGAGGAAAACTGGTAATGTGTGGGAAGACCAGGAACTATTCTTTACAACCGAGAGAGAGGAACATATGTGGGGTTCTTGGCCAGATGAGGTTTTGTTGGCCAGTAGATTAGTCTGTTGAGAATTACTCATATCAGGATATTTTAAAGGGGGGTTTGTTAAAGGAGCAGCCTAAGCACCATAACCACTACAGCACATTATTTATGTTGCTATTGACACCATCTCCTGGTTCTGCATCGAACCGTTTCTGAGGTGTTTTATATAAATAGTGTCCTCCAGGTGCCTATGGCCTGTCCCTTCATTCATAATTTAAAGGGATACTATAGTGCTAGAATACAAAGTTGTATTCCTAGCACTATAGCTCCTTCACGCTCCCCGTACTGTAAAGGTTAATAAAACCTTAGTGTACTTACCCGATACCAGCGCCGATGTCCCTCAGTGCTGTGTAGGCACTCTGCTTCCTCAAACATTAACCATCGGGATCGCTAGCACATTAGGCAATTTCTGAATAATAAAATTACCAAGTATAAATGGACGTCCAAAGAAGACTGCATGTGCCCTCCTTTTTACAGTTTCTAAAAGCGTCTGTGCCTGTTCAGATTATGGCTATGCCCCTCTGGAAAAATGTCTTCCTCTGAAATTGCACAAGCACGTAGTTAATTTTAACAGCTAACAGAAAACCAGCTGAATTGACATCGAAAAATGCCTGAAATGACTATATTTGCCTTCTAGGCATTGGTTCCAAATAGTACGTTTTTGTTTTATTTTGAAACAGCTGAATTTGCACATATGAACATCATTCGCCTACTATACAGTATTTAATGGATAGACCTATACGTGTAACAGATTTATGCAGTTATGGAATGGTTATAGAAAATTATTGTTACAAACAATCAATGCAAAGGTATCAGTGCATTTCATGACAAAATGTTTGGGGGACCAGGGTAGCCCTTTGGGGCACTCTCCAATGCTTATAGTGCGAGTATCTGTGAACTGTTATCAATGCATTTGAATTGTAGTCATTTAATATTGTTTTGTAACCGAGTTACTGCAAATATTTTCCAGTTTAATAAAATAATAATAATACGTGTACATTTTTTTTTCTCCCAGATTTCCGATACTTGGCCTGGTTATAACTTGGATGTATTTTCATTACCGAACCATTACTGTGAAGATTTGGAATGTGTATATATTCCGCATGGTGTGATAGTGGACAGGTGCGTTCATGAAATATGATGCTGATATCACATGGCCGTCCTGCTGATTTTTGAGAGTTAGGTGCTTGCAATCTCATTCTGTTACTAAACCCACCTACAGTGAACACTTTCTCGGAGGTCTAGAGAACAAAAGTGTGCTTTAAGTTATCGTCCGGGATACAATTGACCATTTTTATGCACACCAATGTTCCATATAGCCAAATAGGGGCACTTTCCTTCTAGGGAATGTGACTGGAGGTAAGGCCAGGGGAAAGATACATGCCAGAAAATTATAGCAGACCCCATGGCCTACTGATAATTTTTATGTAACTGAAAATTTTAAATTGTACTAAATCAGTGTATGTTATCTACACAGACTGAATTCTAAACATATTTACTGTGGTTTAAAGGGACACTATAGGCACCCAGCCCACTTCATCTCATTGAAGTGGTCTGGGTGCAGTGTCCCTGTCCTCTTAACTATGCAATGTAAAACATTGTAGTTTCAGAGAAACTACAATGTTTACATTGAAGAGTTAAAGGACCACTATAGTGCCAGGAAAACATACTCGTTTTCCTGGTACTATAGAGCCCCCACCCTCAGGGTCCCCCTCCCGCCCGGCTCTGGAAGGGGGAAAGTGGTAAAACATACCTTTTTCCAGCGCTGGGCGGGGAGCTCTCCTCCTCCGATCCTCCTCTTCTCCTCCCATGCGGCTGAATGCGCACGCGCGGCAAGATCTGCGCGCACATTCAGCCGGTCATATAGGAAAGCATTATCAATGCTTTCATATGGACGCTTGCGTGCACAGTGAGAAGCACGCAAGCGCCTCTAGCGGCTGTCAATGAGACAGCCGCTAGAGGAATTGGGGGAAGGCTTAACCCATTCATAAACATTCTCTGAAACTGCTATGTTTATAAAAGAATGGGTTAACCCTAGCTGGACCTGGCACCCAGACCACTTCATTAAGCTGAAGTGGTCTGGGTGCCTAGAGTGGTCCTTTAAGACTGCCTCCAGTGGTTGTCTAGTTTAACTCTGTGAAACAACACTGGACATCTTCGCGCATTGCATGAGCACGTCCAGCGTGTTGAAATCCCACATAGGAAAGCATTGATTCAATGCTTTCTTATGAAGAAGGCCTAATGTCGACTAAGGCGGAACCCGACCCAGTGCAGACAGGAAAGTGTTTAAACAGGTTTTTTAAATCCTTACTTGGTGTGGGGTAGGGATACACTTTTGTACTCCAGACGCTATATGTTACTCCTAACGCTGTAAAGTTTCGATATCTATCTAATCGAAAATGGTTCTTTTATAATTAATTGCAGAAATGACTCTCTGGCTCAGCTGGGGAGGTTAGCTCCATAGCACAGCCTGTGGTCCTTTCCATACCATAGATTGAAAGTCAGTTCTGAGCAGAAAATCAGATCTGCAGGTTTTTCCAGCTGTTTTTAGATATATCCAAATGAAAAACAAAAGCCGAGATAAATGCAATGCATGTTTTTAATTCGGGGTATATCTACTAAGTAGTGACTTTGTGTTACTTTAAAAACCTGAATATTTATTGCTGTGAAATTGTTATAGACTCATTTCCAACAACTATTAGTAGAGAATACAGGGACAGATGGATTTAGACGTTAGATATTTGGGAGACTAGTTCATGAGATTATAAGGAGAATCACAGGACATGACAATATTATTACGTAAATGTAAACGGACTACTTTACCCCTGAAAAGTTATGGCCCATCTGTTCCTCTTATAATAATATTGTTTGGAAACTTTTCTTTTTCCCCATTACAGGATAGAACGCTTAGCTAGTGATATAATGAAAGACATCGGGGATAATCATATTACAGTCTTATGTGTGCTTAAAGGAGGATACAAGTTCTGCGCTGATCTAGTTGAACACATCAAGAATCTCAGTCGAAATTCAGAAAGGTTTATTTCCATGAGAGTAGACTTCATCAGGCTCAGAAGCTACTGTGTAAGTTTAAAAGCTCCTCCAACTCCTGTCTGTTATGTTGGTTATCAATAGGAGCCAAGGATCAGATCTGTCCCTAATTGCAATTTATTTATTTTTTCCCTTTAAACCTCGCTTACTGTCTGACTGTTGCCACATTGTTCTTTCGAGGGCTCCTCGGTTGAGTTTTTACTCAGTCCTGTTCTCTGTGATAGATCAACTCTCTGGCCTATGGAAACCCAACATTCTACTGCTGCCTTATAGATTACCTGATTGGTTTACTTTTAAGCATTTTTATTAATATTATTATTATTATTATTATTATTATTTTTTTATTTTTTTATGGGACCAGAATGAAGTTTATGGGTTTTCGTCTAAACAGTGACTCCCTTGGATGATATTCTATCAGAATCACTGCGTGTCGTTTACTGTAACCACAGGTTCGGTTAAACAGTACTACATCAGCTTGGAAGTTTTGAGTGATCCGATTTCCCCAGACTGATGGTTCTGTTCTATCTCTGTACTGACACTGTTTCCAATTGGTGTTTCCGTTCTCTGACTCCAAGTTTTTGTGGTGTGATTATTATTTGAATTATTCAGGATTACACTATGTCATGTCCAGGTAATGTAGCCAGTAAATGCCAGGTCACCATTCCTTTTTGGGCAGATATATTGGAGTTGGCGTTTTGTTTATGCATGTCTGGCCTTTGCAGTTTTTCTCCTTCTTCTAAAAGGAACCTTACCTTATTGTAGCCATTCAGGTGTGCTGTGTGCACTTAATATGTCTGTCTACAGCAAGGATAGGCAACCTTTGGTGCTCCAGATGTTTTGAACTACATTTCCCTTGCCTGCATTATGGGCGATGTAGTTAAAAACATCTGGAGTGATGAAGGTTGTCTACCCCTGGTCTATTGTATAGTTGGCAACATCTGAAAAAAATATTCCAGGGTCACTTTTGCCACAAAGCAATTTAGAGGAGTGTTGAACACACGCACCAGTTTCCATAGGCCCCGCCGACTATATAATTCTCCTGGAAAAAACATCCCCACAGTACACTAGCAACTGCTAGTTAAATGGAGCCTGAAGTCTGTATGTGCAGCATTTTGCTGTGAAATGCTGTACATACAGATTTTTAACCCCTCCACTGCCGGAGGTTTTAATTCCATTAGGGAGTCATCAACAAGCTCCGAACTAGAGTTCCAGGCTGGCTAATGTCAATTCTGAGCAACTTTTATTGCACGGAACGTCCGTCATTGGCTGAGAGCTGTCAGCTAACATACAATGACATTCAATGAATGACGACAGCAGTGACTTGCTTTCGATGATTAGAGTAACAATTAAAAGAAAATATATAGTCACCAAAACAACTTTAGCTTAATGAAGCAGTTTGGGTGTATAGATCCTGTCCATGCAGTCTCACTGCTCAATTATCTGCCATTTAGGAGTTAAATCACTTTGTTTCTGTTTATGCAGCCCTAGTCACACCTCCCTTGGCTGTGACTGACACAGCCTGCATGAAAAAAAAATGGCATCATATTCAATACAATGATAACTTGTTTTATACGTTTTTAATCTCCTGTTCTGTAAATTGAACTTTAATTACATACAGGAGGCTCCTGGCTGGGCCTAGTGATCTGTTAACAGAGCAAGAGAAAAGAAATTCCAAATTAAATAAAATTTGCAGTAAACAAAGTGTAAAGATTAGATGACTGACTGTTTAGGGAGGTGTGCCTATGGCTGTATAAACAAAGTGATTTAACTCCTAAATGGCAGAGGATTGAGCAGTGAGACTGCAGGGGCATGATCTATACACCAAAACTGCTTCATTAAGGTAAAGTTGTTTTGGTTACTGTAGTGTTTCTTTAAGGGCCAGAAGTCAATAACTCCCTGTCAATACTGGTGACATTTTCTAGTCTGTAAACAGCCACTATCTGCTAACAGTTGGGACTGGCACTTTAATGACTAGTGCTGGCTGGTAAGACAGCGTTGGAAATTAACCCCAGAATTCTATTGTTTTACTAAATAGTTTAGTTTATAAGTTCTATTTTTTTCAATGACATTCTTAAAATGCAAGACATAATTCTGAGGCAAGTATCTAGCGGAGCGAGGCTAGAAAAAATGGGACTGTCCAGTTAAATTCTCAAGTACGTTAGTTGGCATACTTGCTATTATTATATGAGTTGACAAGTATACTATTGTTTTGAAACATTTTTGAATTAGGATATAATCCTTTCCAGTTCTTCTTTCCCAATTCAATTGATGCTTAAGTAATCGCCGTGTCACTCACTTCCTCTCCACGGTCCAATCAAATGGTTCACAGAAAAGCATTTGATTGGTCATCTTCAGCAGACCAGAGCAAAGAGGAAATTGAAATATCTCCGTATGTCCAGAGTTTCAATCAGGAACGCTACACACACACACACTCCTACCACTATGACCATTTCTACAAATATAAGTGAGCATGGTAGTTGGAGTAACCCTTTATTTTGCACATCAATGGGAAAATACATTTAGGCCATAAAGCCCTGCATAAGTCCTGTTTGATTCAGAGTTGTCCTTTACACTGTAGATAAACTGATTTCTCTTCCAGGGCTCTATTATGTTGTCCTACATGTGTGTAGATGGACTGAAAATGGTGATCACCTTGGCCTCCCTTCCTCAGGGCCGTACTGGGACATAAAGTCCAGGCATATATGTTCTTTTCTGATCTTACTCTCTGTTTTGTGCTTGTCACCTCTTCCTGGGTGTTCCATCTGTCCCCATCTAATTGAGTATTGACATTTAAGTAGGGGCAAGTTATGTGTGTATGTGTTTGTTTTTTTATTAATTTGGATTGAGGTGCCATTTTATTCTTGGACCCACGCAGCAATATGTATCGGTCCAATCCTGGAAACCATAACGAGAGCACAGAACTAGTTATGGGCCAGCTTACTGCTCATTAGAACCCTGCAGTTTAATTCTATTCTAGCAGAGCTACGGTGATAAGTCGGCAATTCTACACTTTTACTTTCCCTTTTGGAGACGTTAGTGCCACTGACTCAAGTCAACAGTGTTATTTTTGGTTTGCAGAATTGTTTTCCTTCCTAAATTTTACAACCAATGTTAATGTCAGGAAACTGCTAGTGGCAGCTGGCAAACTGTGAGTCAGTTAGGGCCACTAGTTCTGCTTAGGGAATTCGAGACAATTGCAGGGTTCTTCACTAAGATAAGAATCAAGGTGAATTTCAAATTTAAGGTCAGAATATCTGAACGTGAAAAAAATCTCTGTCAGCGATGCTTTCCACCCATCTACTCTGGCCTTAAATTTAAAATTCCCACTGAGTACACTTTGAATTCTCACTTTTTAGTTAAGCGAGAACTGATCTTAAAATAAATCTGACCAAACATGCAGAAACCTGGTTTAGAGCCAAATATCTTTTATTTTGTTCAAAGCTATTAGTGTAGTATATTCTATCTGTAGAGTTTCTTTTTTGTTTTGTGTTTTGTTTTCTTCATATAGGAGTGAGTTTTTTTTTTGTTTTTTTTTTTAGAATGACAAATCCACAGAAGATCTGCAAATTATTGGAGAAGAAGAGCTGTCAAAGCTGACTGGGAAGGTATTTTAATGTGCCAATTATTTAATGCATAAATATAAAATTATTCCACTAGAATTATTCCACCTTCTCTTTCAATACAACGTGACTTTTTTTGTTTTGTTTGTTTTGTTGTTTTTTTTTAAATAGTTTCAGCTTCTTACAATTCAATTAAGGAAGTAAATTGTGTAAATACTTCAGTAAATATGCGTTTTCCTCATAATACGTAAGCTCAGTTACATAGTATTGACAAAGGAATTTCAACAGAACTTACTTGTAAGCATGTTCTAATTAATATGTTCTAAGTTATTGTGTAAAAGTGTATCTAGCACGGGAGGTACACTTTACAGTAAGCATAAGAGGGAAAACGTGGACCTCTGACTTAGACCAGGGCTCCCAACAGTCCTGCTTTTGCTGGGACAGTCCCGTTGCTGCATTCTGTTTGTCATTGAGCAGGTAAAAATCAATTTACCTGCAGTACTTGGAGACTAAGCTTTAACTATCCATTACACCTGGACATTTCCTATCTGTGTCAGTTGCTGCACAGGATAAGATTGATACATTGAATGATTTAACAATAGAGGACATTAAAACAGAATCCAAAAATAAAAACTATCAATTGCTGGCTCATTTACTGAAGCAATATCCCCTGATTTCCCCTTTATAACATGAAGCAGCTTTTCTTAAATTAATCATAACCTTCAGTCAGCCGCAGGCTTATGACAGTTGTAATTACTTGTAATATGTGCAGATCTGCTGAGAAACCTGTTGTCATTGGCTAGTTCATGAGATCTTTTCTATTGTTAATAAACTGAAATGAAAATATATAAAAGTGGCAAGAATGGTTGTGCTAATTAGCATATATTCTGACCGCTCTGGTGGTATAAATCTGTTCTATAATGTCTGCATGTAATGTAGCTTAATAGCTGTATTGATGTTGGTGCAATATGTGACAATACATTTATTTGTCTTTCTTTTGATTTAGAATGTACTTATTGTAGAGGTAAGTGACATTTTATTCTCGTATTTCTAATTTATGAATTCATACAAATGTGGTTTTAACAGAATTAATCCGTATTATTGATTGAGCTTGTTTTATCTATACAGATCATCCTTTAATAATGTATGAATAATTTTTAACTTTATTAGAACCTATATATCCATGGGGTGCATGAATGCTTTTCAGTTGGTGGGAACAAATCAAATTACTTTTAATCAATGTCCGAAGGACGAAATCTGCCTGACTTCACAGTCAAAGCTTGGCTGATCGGTTCGGGAGTGGTTTAAAAGTCAATTGATTCATTCGCATCAGCGGAAAAGCAGTTATGAACAAGTGTAATTTCATTCCTTCTCTCCAGTTTTATTGCGTTCCATACCAGCACCCATATTTTCTCCTTTACCTCCCCAAGCAAATTTCTCTCCTCCTCCTATATGTGTGTTTAAAACGCTATAAAGATTTGTCATTATCACGGCCTCTATCTGTTTACACACACAGCACTGTGTAGTGGACTGGGCTGTTTGCATCGAGTGGCAGAGTCACAGTCTGTGCTTGCTTTGACCATGGTTGGAATCTTTCTCTGGAGAGGAGAGCGTACTCCGTATAAATTGTGCATATAGTGTACATTCCGCAAACACGCTACTTGGACATAATTGAAAGTCAGAAAATCTGAAAGATCTGGTTGCCTGATTAACAGCTCTGAGAGTCTGTCTTAAAACTGCAACAATTTGTTCAATAATACAATGTTGTTATGGTGCTTTGACTGATCCTTTAATAAAGCTCCATGAATACACAGATTGTCATGGTTGTCATAGATGGACATATTGTTAATGATAGCCCAGGCATGGATTAGCAGTTAAAAAGTACAAAGCTATAATATTTTTATTGACACGTTTTTTGCCCCCCTCTTTTTTTTTTTTTTTTTCTGAAGGATGTTATTGGAACTGGTAGGACGATGAAGGCTTTGCTTAGTCACATGGAGAACTACAATCCAAAAATGGTAAAAGTGGCAAGGTGGGTTTCAATCTTGTTTTATATTTGTGAGTGGTCATCTGGTCTAACTAATTTTAATACTATTAATTAAGCGACCATGTAGGCACTATAACCATTCCTTCTGAATTAGTTATAGTGCTTGAAGTCCCCTAGCACTGACCCTCCATTTAATGTTAAATCATTTTGCAGCAATTTAACATGGAACAAGGGTCCCTGGCTTTTTATAGCTCAAACCCCCACCCACTGTAGGTATGGCTAATGCAGAGGTTACACACTTCCTTCTAGCTATAGTCCCATTTATGCTGTGCATGTGCATCAGTTCCCCAGTGCTCTGAGGAGGATTGAATTTGACCAACTATAAAGGAGGCCATGCCTCCCCTATGCTGTTGCAGGAGGAAAAGAGGTAGCGCAGAGGGACCCTTGGCGCTGGAAAAAGGGAAATAAAACTTTACTTTTCTTCATTTTTACTGCACTCGCAGGGAGGTGACCCTGAATAACCATAGGAACAGGAATACTATAGATGATAGATTTGTATTCCTGACGCTATAGTATAAAGTTATCTTTAAAATGTTGACAATTCTCACTTTTTGTGAATAGACCTGTATATACACAACTTTAGATGCCTTCTGTGTATATCCCCAAAGTTCCAGCTTGATTCTACTTAGTACAAGCAAACTAAAGGTTATAGTTGTTTTATGGAGACATTAATTTCATGGCTGTCGGTAGTGGTTATTTTTTTATTTTTTATTATTGCAGTCCCAGATTACACTTTCAGACAAACACAGCCTTGTCATAACCTTTCCAACAACAGTGCCACCTACTGGTAATATTACATAATTACTGCAAACGTGGAGATGGGAATCACAATGTTACAGTGCTAGAGAGTGGCGTCATTTTGAAACATTCTATTAACCAAATAAAGGATTGTTTTTAACCTTCTATAAAGACAAAGGAGAAAAACACCTTTATATGGTCACCAATAGTCACTTGGTAGAGGCGATACCAATTCATTCAATAAGATGGGTGAAACGAGAATGTGGGTTTCATTTTTATTTTTCAGATTACCTTGGAAACTGAGAGCAAGTGGAAATAACTTTTTTTTATTATTATTATTATTATTTTATCCATTATACATTGAGGAAAAACACATTTATTTTTTTATCCGACATATTTTTATGATAATGTAATGAAAATAATGTTAACGCATAATGTCTTTTTTTTTTTTTTTGTATTGCCAGAATGTTAATATATTCTTGTTTATAGGTTTTGCTAAATTAAACTCCAATCAGATTAAGCAAGACAGATCCATCTATGTGTATTAAAATGAATTAGTATTTATCTCGAACTGGCATCAAAAAAAGGTTTCACTCCTTACTCAGGGAATTTAATTTTAAATAATTACAAATTATTTTTCATTGTTTTTCAATGACGTTTTAAAACATTCTGTCTCTTTCTTACATGTTATTCCCTGGTATTACTAATTCTTATATAAACGGTAAAACTCTGTTTAATGTAAAAGATGGATATTTCTATTTTTTGCAGCTTGCTTGTGAAAAGGTCTGCTGGAAACAACACCTATAGCCCTGACTGTAAGTCTAATTTTCAACACAATTTTATTTCTGATAACAGTTATGCCATTTATTAGCATCATGTTTAAACTGGAACCTGTTCACTGTGTCATGCATACTAAAGTTGGTGACTTTTACTCTGAATAGACGCTTAAATTCCAAAAGTCTGTAAAAAAAAAACCTCAGAAACTGCTAATTGGGTATCTATTTTGGAACATTCCCATCACATGTTTGTGTCTAGCAGAGAAATTTTGCTAATGCCATATTTTGTCCCATGTTTTCGTTATATATTTATTTATCCGATGGCTAATTCCTATGAATGACATGAAGAACAAATTGCTTGTTGGACCAAATGTCGTCTGTGCAATACACTCTTTCATTCGTTTGTTACAATTACAAGGAGGGAGCTACTAGCTTGCAGCTCCCTCCTTGTAAAAATAGAAGCGACCGTATCTGTGCTTCCTAAATCCCCCCATGGCCCTCTCACCCTTGGTCTGTGCGGATCAATATGACCCCTATAACCGTATAAGGGAGGTTAAATGCTACCTCCTGCCCATACCCTCTGTGCCGTGAGTAGGGGCATTTCTACTAAACATTAAAAAAAAAACTAGTGACTGGGCAGCTATTTCTACTGCTGCCCAGTTGCTAGTCCAATAAAGGGGAACCTGACACGGGTTCCCCATGGTGGGGCACCTAATAAATTAATTATTTGAGGGAAATATTAAAGGACCACTATAGTGCCAGGAAAACATACTTGTTTTCCTGGCACTATAGTGCCCTGAGGGTGCCCCCACCCTCACGGTCCCCCTCCCGCCGGGCTGGATGGCAAGGAAAGGGGTTAAACGTACCTTTTTTTTCCAGTGCCGGGCGGGGAGCTCTCCGCCTCCGATCCTCCTCTTCGGCTGAATGCGCATGCGCAGCAGGAGCTGCGCGCGCATTCAGCCAGTCTCATAGGAAAGCATTCATAATGCTTTCCTATGGACGCTGTCGTCTTCTCACTGTGATTTTCACAGTGAGAAGCACCAAGCGCCTCTAGCGGCTGTCAATGAGACAGCCACTAGAAACTTTAGAAACTGGATTAACCCATTTATAAACATAGCAGTTTCTCTGAAACTGCTATGTTTATAAAAAGGGGGGGGTTAATCCTAGAGGGACCTGGCACCCAGACCACTTCATTAAGCTGAAGTGGTCTGGGTGCCTAGAGTGGTCCTTTAAATAAAATGAATGGAGGGGCACATTTATTTATTAAAGTGGCACTATAGTGCCCTGAGGGTGCCCCCACCCTCAGGGTCCCCCTCCCGCCCGGCTCTGGAAGGGGGAAAGGGGTAAAAACTTACCTTTTTCCAGCGCTGGGCAGAGAGCTCTCCTCCTCCGATCCTCCTTCTCTCCTCCCCGTCGGCTGAATGTGCACGCGCGGCAAGATCTGCGCGTGCATTCAGCCGGTCTCATAGGAAAGCATTTACAATGCTTTCCTATGGACGCTTGCGTGCTTTCACTGTGAAAATCACAGTGAGAATCACGCAAGCGCCTCTAGCAGCTGTCAATGAGACAGCCGCTAGAGGGAATGGGGGAAGGCTTAACCCATTCATAAACATAGCAGTTTCTCTGAAACTATGTTTATAAAAAAAATGGGTTAACCCTAGCTGGACCAGGCACCCAGACCACTTCATTAAGCTGAAGTGGTCTGGGTGCCTAGATTGGTCCTTTAACATAGTGACCCCTCCAGCCCCCATCTATAGCTACGGTGGGAACTATTAAATAAAATCTACAGGGAGGCATGGTGTCCTCCCAGTCTTCACCCGTTGGCAGCGAGTGGTGACCATAAATAATAAAGGAGGGGTGGGCATATTGTCCAGCCCCCATCCACTTGCAGCAGTGGGGGCTAATAATAAAACTTATCCCCCGCCCCACTGGTAAGCAGGAGTCCCCAAATCTCCTCCCCCCCAAAAAAATACACTACCTACCCCCCTCACCCTAAAAATTGTGAAGACTGGCCAATAAATACCTGAAACATAAAAATGTCCTACTTACCATTAGATGTCATCTTTTTTTCTTCAGCCCTGATTAAAAATCTATAAGGTCTTGCCACAACTATTACAATGAAAGAAGAAAAAAAAAATATCGGGGAACACAAAATAAGCTGAATAATAAATTCCAGACTAAAAAATAATGCATCTTCACCCCGCGAGTGCTTTACACTGACTGTGTTAACAGGGCAGGGAAAGCCATTTACTGCAGAGTCCACCCAGTAAAAAATACAATCTGATTATCCCAGCAGAACTACAGAGTTCAGATAACGAAGAAGGCGGATTAACCGGATTATTGAGGAGACCCTAGTCCGGTCCCCCTGTCACTACCCCTCCAACCACTTACCCCATGTCACTGCTCCTCCAGCCCCTTACCCCATGTCACTGCTCCTCCAGCCCCTTATCCCATGTCACTGCTCCTCCACCCCTCTACCTCCTGTCACTGCCCCTCTACCCCATGTCACTGCCCCTCTACCCCATGTCACTGCCCCTCTACCCCATGTCACTGCCCCTCTACCCCATGTCACTGCCCCTCCACCCCTGTCACTGCCCCTCCACCCCCTGTCACTGCCCCTCCACCCCCATACCCCCGTCACTGCCCCTCTACCACCTGTCCCTGCTGCTCCACCCACTATACTATACTGCTCCTTCCCCCTACCCTGTCACTGCTCCTTCCCACTACCCCTGTTACTGCTCCTTTCCTACCCCTGTCTGCTCCTTCCACTACCCCTGTTACTGCTCCTTCCCACTACCCCCTGTTACTGCTCCTTTCCCACTACCCCTGTTACTGCTCCTTTCCCACTACCCCTGTTACTGCTCTTTCCCACTACCCCCTGTTACTGCTCCTTTCCCTACCCTGTCACTGCTCCTTCCCACTACCCCGTCACTGCTCCTTCCCCCTACCCTGTCACTGCTCCTTTCCCACTACCCCCAGTCAAAGCCCCTCCACCCCCACATCACCAGTCACAGCCACTCCAGTCACAGCCACTCTACCCCCAGTCAGAGCCACTCCACCCCCTTCCCTCCCCCCCAGTCTCACACACTCTGTCACATTCCCCCTCCACACACCCTGTCACCTCCACGCACACACACCCTGTCACAGCCCCTCTTCACACACCCTGTCATCCCCACGCACACACATGGTCACCCCATACACATACACTTTCAGCCCCCACACGGCAACGCTCGATTCCATGTGGTGCCAGGAATCGCGAGAGAGCCTTAACCCGGCGGAGCTGCAGAGCCCCTACAGTGCCACCGGACCACAAGGGAATATGCTGACCACCCCTCATCCCTGGATGCAGGGAAGAAACAAGGAGGGAGGAGGGGTAGTCTCACACTACAACCCACCCCACACAGTCATACACACTGCACTCGTCACAATCACACACACTGTATCCCTCGCAATCACACACCCTGCACCCCTTAAACGCTGCACCCCTAACAATCACACACACTGCACCCCATGTATATTTGTATGTATGTGTGTGTGTGTGTTTGTGTATGTATATATAAAAATACATATACACGCAGCGTATGTTTGTACTTTAGGGTGCACACCCTAATGCAATTGGGTTGCAAAGCAGGTGCTCTGGGCAATTGCTGCCTCTTGAGTTTAGCTCCACTGACCTGTTGTCTGATAGCCAAGCTAGTTTAACAAGATTAATTTATAAAAGTGCCAATTTCTATTGAAATCTGCAGTTACTTTGTAAAACGAAGAGAAAAAAATAGGATACACTCTTCACACAAACTAAAGTGATTTAGTAGTCTGGAGTTTCCCTTGAACTACTGAATGATGTGGGATTTCAGGTTTAATTCCCTCTAGAGCCAGAACTGCCATGATATCGCTTGGAATTTTCAGAATAGTCCTTGGCCTTCGGGATTGATTTCTGATACCTTAGGGAGGATTTATCAAAGTGTTTTGAAAAGTATCTTCAAGGATTCTAAAATCTGTTTTAAAACTAGTTTGTACTTGTCACCTATCCCATTCGTATTTATTCCAACATATTGTTGCACCTCCACAAATATGTCCTGGTAACTGGGAATATAGTGTGAATATTCTATGAGTATTCTCTTTCTACACCATGATAAGTGGTGTAACAGGATGCAAAAAATATATATATATATATATATATATATATATATATATATATATATTTTCTTGTGGAAAAAAGTGATAATATTAATAAATGGAATGCGATTCAAAAAGCAACTCGAAAGATTTTATGGCCATCATAACTGATCATTCTGGCAAAAATATCAACTAAAAGACACAGATTATTTACCAACACTTTTCTAAATCTTCTTCTGTGTTGTCTATATAACCCAACAAAGTACAGGCTGATCACATTTTTTTTAAAAAAAGTGTAATAAGATAAAAATGTCTCGCTAATGAAAAGGCTTTTGTTTTTTATTTAAAGATACCGGATTTGAAATTCCTAACATATTTGTGGTGGGATATGCTTTAGATTACAACGAACACTTTCGAGATCTTCATGTGAGTACTGAAAACAAATTTAACCCTGTGTGTTTATTTTTTTTTTTCCAATTTATTTGTAATTTATTCAATTTTTTTTTATTACAAAACACCGTACATATACAAAACAAAACATAGAAAAGACATAACGAAGATACAGTAAAGACATAGGCTTCATACAATGTAAACTTAATTATGTTCCAGAATATACAAACGTAATTATGGTGCCAGAATATAAAAGAAGACTGCTCTTAGACCACTACATTATAAGGAGAAATAGAGTCAACAAGCTCTCTATAGATGTAGCATATCTTGAAGTGGGAGGGTAAATCTACACTGAACAAAATTATAAACGCAACACTTTTGTTTTTGCCCCCATTTTTCATGAGCTGGACTCAAAGATCTAAGACTTTTTCTATGTACACAAAAGGCCTATTTCTCTCAAATGTTGTTCACAAATCTGTCTAAATCGGTGTTAGTGAGCGCTTCTCCTTTGCCGAGATAATCCATCCACCTCACAGGTGTGCCATATCAAGATGCTGATTAGACAGCATGATTATTGCACAGGTGTGCCTTAGGCTGGCCACCATAAAAGGCCACTATAAAATGTGTAACGCTAATAAGTTCCCCCAACCCTGTGTGTTGAATGACCCTGGGAGGTATTCTATAAACCTGGTAGTGAAAATATTGATCAATTACTAAATTGAAAAGTAAAGTTTTTTTGTTTTTTTTTTATTGCGGAGTTTTATTTTCTAAACTGTAACACTCCTGATATAACATATTTTCATTGTTCTGTAATAAATTCAAAGTGAATTTAAAACTTAAAGGATCACTATAGTGTCAGGAAAACAAACTACCCCCCCACCCTCAGGGCCCCCTCCCCTCTACCTTCAGGGCCCCCTCCCTTGGTTAAAACCCCTTCAGCAGCTTACCTTAAGCCAGCGCCGGGCTCCCTCGGCGTTGGTGACCTCTCCTCCCCTGCCGATATTAGCTCCAGAGTGGAGCGGAATGTGCATGTGCGGAAAACAGCCACTAGAGGTTGGATTAACCCTGCAATGTAAACATAGCAGTTTCTCTGAAACTGATATGTTTACATCTGAAGGGTTAAAACCTGGGGCACCTGGCACCCAGACCACTTTTATTGAACTGACGTGGTCTTGGTGACTATAGTGTCCCTTTAAGGCCAAAATTGCTGAATTGGAAAAATCTAAGTGAGCTTTGCTACCAGATTGGCTATTTTGGTCTAAAATTTGAAATTCACTTTGAATAAACATGAACTGACCACGATATAACATGTAGGCCAATGTAGCCGATAAACAAACTTCTGTTATTTTTACAGCTGGACTATTTGGTGTAAAATTTGTTCATATCAATTTCCACCAGTTCATGGTTTAGTAAATAAAATTGTCTGCCTTAAAGGGACACTATAGGCATCCAGACAACTTCAGCTCTTTGAAGTGGTCAGAGTGCAGTGTCCCAGGTCCCTTAACCCTGCAAATGTAATTATTGCAGTGTTTAAGAAACTGCATCCTTTTGTGGATTAACTCCACCTCTACTGGCTGTCTACTACTAGAGGGACTTTTGGGTTGTTAGACGACTTTCGGTCGCCTAACTGATGCTGGTAGTCCTCACTCTATGCATGGGGACATCCACCATCACCCAAACCCCCATAGGAAAGCATTATTAATGCTTTCCTATGGAGGAAGTTCTAATGCGAGCGTGCATGCCCATTAGGTCTCCCCCACTGACTTCCAGCACTGGACTCCGGTTAGTGACAAAAGGTTTTTTTTCAACCCCTTCTGCACCATGGGGGGAGGTGGGGTGAAGGCAAGAGGGGGTGCCACGAATGGGGGCACTAATGAGAGCTATAGTGCCAGGAAAACTATTTTCCTGACACTATAGTTTCCCTTTAATGGTTTGCTATCGACCAAGCTTTTACCTTGCCTTGCCTTAATAACAAAGGCTTTGTGGCAGACTGAGCACACAGCTTTCTCCCAGAGCTACGGAGGTTTAGTCAGCTGCTCCAATGGGTAAAAACAGGATACGATGAGGACATGTTTGGGACTGTCGTGGTCATGACCTGTGAATAATAAATATATCGTGCCTAGGGATTTAGTCAATAAATTGGGAATTGTTGAAGAACTGAAATATAATGTTATCTTTCCCCATGTGCAGGCTTTTTGCATTCACTCTCTGAATAAGATGTAAATTTAACTTTTAGACATGGTCTGCATTCTTTTATGTTCTTTATTGAGTATCTAATACATTTTTCATTTCACTTATATGGAAGGGAGGTTTTCAACCTAATCCGTTGAATTAAGAGACCATCTCCTTTTCCATGTAGGGTTAAGATATTACGGCAAACATCTTGGACATCTGCACATTGCAGTCCATCGTGTGCAATTTCATTTTTCTCTAACCTTGCACATTATGCCTACAGTCCACCAGCAGGGTTAGCAATTAATTCAGCAGTCTGGGCAATGAATTTAGAGGATCTTTTTTTTCTTTTCATTATTGCCTTGGAAACAAACTGTAAAGTGAAATAAGTTCTATATCAAGCTCTGAGTTTATAACAGAGTAGAAGGTGTTATTTGTCTTTGCGTGAATCACAAATTTATTTTTAACTCGTGAAGTGAGCAAACAGCTTGGATATTTGAATTTGAATTCTTTCTATACACTAGTGTTTAAACCCAGATCTGTATGCCCAAAATAATATTCCGTATTATTTAGCTATATTTAGTTATCATCCAATTTAAAATCACCTCTTGTTAAAAGAATGCTCCCGATTGCTGAAGTTATTTACATGTTAACTGGTGAACCCCTTGTTCCTGTTAATAAACTTGCGGATTTAAGGAGAAATCTGCACTTTTCTGATTTAACTTTGTTATTGTCACAGGTTGACTAATTATCCTGAATTTTGCCATTTGAATTTTAGCAAATAAAGCCCTGCAATGCTTTTCACAGTTGGCAGAGCTGTTCAACCAATGTACTCATTATTTGAAGACAGAAAAGGTAAAACCATTAATTATTATCTTGTTTTGTTTTTTTCAGCACATATGTGTCATCAGTGATAAAGGCAAGGAGAAATATAAAGTGTGACAAAATTAACTTCTAACCTACGGTTTTTAGAAGACACAGACTGTTACCATAAAATGTGAATGGCATTAAAACTTATTATTTTTGCAAAAAAAAAAAAAAATGGAGGGAGGTGAGTTTATATAATTACAATAAAGCTTTGACTTTATAAAAATGATTTCTCTGTTTTTATTTTTAATCTTTATTTAAATATATCATCTTTATTGCAATGAGATCTATTTCTCAATCTAACAGAGCGACTCTGGCGCAAATTTGCTTAAAGGGACGCTATAGTCACCAGAACAACTACAGCTAATTGAATTTGTTCTGGTGAGTAGAATCATTACCTTCAGGCTTTTTGCTGTAAACACTGTCTTTTCAGAGAAAATGCAGTGTTTACATTACAGCCTAGTGATAACTTCACTGGCCACTCCTCAGATGGCTGCTAGAGATCCTTCCTGGGTCATGGCTGCCTATAATGCCTCCAAACATTCAGTATCTCCTCCCTCTGCATGCAGACACTGAACTTTCCTCATAGAAATTCATTGATTCAATTCATCTCTATGAGATGTTGATAGGCCAGGGTGGCGTTTGACTTGTGCTGGCTCTGCCCCTGATCTGCCTCCTTGTCAGTCTCAGCCAATCCTATGGGGAAGCATTGTGATTGGATCAGGCTACCACTTCTGATGATGTCAGCAGACAGTGGGCAGGTCAAAAAGAAACAGGGACAAAGCATGCAGCTCCAAACTTGAATAAAAGTAAGATTTTACAATATTTAGGGAGGCATGAGGGGTCAGGGGGGCTAGATGGTGGCTTTAACCCTATAAAGTCAGGAATATATGTTTGTGTTCCTGACCCTATAGTGCTCCTTTAATATTCACATGGTGAGAAAGGAAAAAAAAATGACAGTGAAAATAAATTAATATAGGATGGTCATGCATCATATAGGTTTTTTTTTGTAGTTAAGATAAATTAAAATGATTTTAAATATATTTATTTGGCACCTGCAAAACCAGTGCAATCCATACATATGAGATTCTCTGCTACAATTTACCAAATGTTATGTGTTTGACAAAATGGCTTTTTCATGGAGCAGAGGTCATCAATTGGTAAATTTCTTTAATGGCAATGGATATTTTAGATAGATTAATTTAGACTATGACAGCCGATACTGTGGTTAGGAAATGTGATGCCCCAGGCTGACGTTTTGAAGTGTCTGTCTACCCCAGATGTTAAAAGCACCAAGCATCTGACACTGCTCGACCATGGTCTAGTAAAATGGAAATGTAAACATCAGGTCCTGCTAGGACCTTGATTACAGACCTTAAAGGAACAATAAAAGAGGGTTGTACCATGCACAGACCTCATCTCCCTAACACTAAATGTGTATAATATAATACGCTCAAACAACAAGTTAGTCTTATCTTGGGTATTTAAGGTGATCCTGTGCTGCACTTCGGCCAGTAGAAAGAGATTAATAGCAAATGATTCTAATACAACAAGAACCAAATACCCTTCATTTATTAAAACAATACATCCGAAGGGAGATAAGTGTAGCTGTTATCCAGGGGAAGATGTTTCATCCAATTTCATAAATAGTATCATGGAAATTGGGACACAGATTCTGAGTCTCCATAGATTGTGGCTTCTTTTCCAATGTTTCGGTCTTTCCGCTATTGACTTGGGAAACTATTTTGTGTTGTTGAGTACCGTGATTCCTGTAGTATCTTGTGACATGAGATGATTGATGACATTTGATGCATCATAATAATGAGGCCAAAACCTAGCAAATGCAGTAAAGTAGTATTGGTGCCCGGAGTGTCCCTTTAAGACAAAGATTAATGGCATCATACAGCACATAGCATTATCTTGTTAACGTACACGCTTACATAGGAATAGTGCATTTGACAATAAATCATTGCTCTTTCAGTTGTATTTGAGCCTAAACTTTAAATATAAGACAGCAAGCAATCAGTGTTGTATCACTGTTATAGACCTTCAGGTGCTATTCCCTACACATGACTATCCCCAGGCTGAATGGACCTCAGTAGTGACACAATGTATGAGCTTCCATTAAACAAAACTTTATGTTGTGATTTTTAAGCATCATTTTTAGGCACAAGCCAACCGTACGAATACAAAAAAAACAGTTGTGAGTTATTGTCTTTGCGCATTTGTATTTTCTCCTGAGGGATAATGATAGAGAGCTATATAATAGTCACAGAACCAAACTGAGAAATATTATTAGATCAAGATAGAATAGTAAAAGGCCCAGATTTGCCATAAGGCCACTGAGGCCACGTCCTTGGGAAAGCTGGTGCATTGCTCACCCGGGCTTGTGCGGAGAGTGGGCTGTTGAAAAGCCCCAAGTCAATGGCAGAGCTATATTCCATCCTCTTTGTCCTCACAGCTGTGCAGAGCCTGGGGAGAGTCCATGTCCTGGGAGATGAGCAACATGAATCATACTGCATGGGAACATAAAATATGAGCATACAGGCTGAAGAAGGACACAGGGGCACAGGTTGGTGCGGGCGTTAGTCATGTAAAGGCTGGTAAGAGCAGGTTGGTGCGGGCATTAGTCATGTAAAGGCTGGTAAGAGAGCAGAAAGCAAGTAAAGGGCAGGCATGGGCAGAGAGTGGTAAATGCATGAGCAGAGGCTAGTGTGGGACATAAGAGGGCAACTTGTAGAAGAGGCTGGTCAACGGGCAAATAGAGGGCACAGACTGGTAAAGGGGCAGGAGTGGAGTGTAGAAGTGGGAGAGACTGTAAGGTATGTGGATGACACAGCAAATTGTATGTGGGGAGATGAGACAAAAATGGTGGAGGGAGTTGGAAAGGAAGTGTGAGAGACCCTAATGAAGAAAGAGGTAGTTGAAGACTAGTCAGGAGAGCGATGGATGAGAAGTGGGAAGGTGAAGCAGACAGAAGTATGGGAAGGAATTGCCAGTAGGTAATTATTATTTTTTATATATATATATATATATATATATTTTTAACTTGAATTTTTTTTTTTTTAAAGGCTGTACAATAGAACATAATTGCAAGTTATACAGTCCAAATAATGGATGCAAGTTGGCGATAATACAGGATATGCTGAAATATACAGTTGTGTGTCTATGATAATGTTCTGCGTTTTCTTTAATACTTCATCGAAACAAGAAAGGAAGATAGAAAGCATGAGTATATTTGTTAATGCAACTGATTGAACTGAGGCAGACATCTGCTTATGAAACGGAATGCATTTATTAATTGCGTTTGAAGCGTATAGGTGAAACATACATAATGAACAGGAAAATAATTTATTTACAAAAAGAAAACGAAAGTAGGTTATAATAAGGGTGGACTTTCTTGGGACAACATTTCATTCTCATGTGTGTAATAAGTGGAGGTGGCAAGATATAGGCAGTCCATTGTCACGAAGCACTCAGAAATGTCAGGTTTATTTATTTAAGGTAGGTTATACTAAGTTGACCTAGGTTGTTCATGGAGACATATTGATGCTAGATCTGGGACATATTTAATATATTTATCAACCTGGTCCATCTCAACATTTAAAAATCAAGACATGGATAGAAGTTGGGTTTATCAGCTTGAACGTTATTACCCTTTCCCGCCAGTCACGGGTTTGTTTTTTCCCATAAATTGTATCCGTGGCTTCCACATTTTATAGTATTTGTGCGTTTTATTCAATGTTGACAACCTGAGTTCCTCTATGGCTTGGAGATGGTCAACCCTAGACAACCACGAAAAGTAAGGAGGTTTTTCGGTGGATTTCCATAGGAGTGTGACTTCTGATTTCGCGCCAGTGAGAAGAAAGTATTAGTGAACATTTATATTAAATTGGGCTTTTAGTTTGTTAGGTGGAACAGCAGAGTTATTTCCATGGGTAGATTAATATCCATCACCTTGCACTATATCACAGACTTTTTTTTCAATAGTCTTTGATTTCTTCGCAGTCACACCACATCTCCACCAGTTTGGTGACTGGGATTTATTAAATCTATGTATCTCTACAGGGGTAGTATACCATCGAGCCATGAATGTAAGATTTGCCTCTTGAAGAGGAATGTTTAGGTGGGACTGGAATATATTTTTGAAAAACTGTTAACCATGCTTATTGAGTAAGAGGGGTAGTGAGTTGCATATCCTAAATTCATGTATAGTAGGGCAATTTGGAATTGATCAAGGATTCAATCGATATATAACACTTGGAAAGTGTCTCTGTGGGTGGTTTAGTCTGGAAACATACTTTCTCAAATATAGTTTCTTCTCATAGACCTGTTCCAGGTCTGATGAGTGTTTTCAGGAAACTTTTTAGCTGATGGTATAGGAAGTCTGTGAAAGTGTTGGTGTTTTATGTGTGATTAGATTCTGTGATATATTCTTGTACTCTGCACTTAACTGAGTTCTATTGATATGAAACTCTGTGATACACTTATTGTTGCATTACTGAGGTGCTCCGCACATAACCGTGAACATGATTGGGAGTTTCATTACTGTGGAGCTCTGTGATACACTCACAAACACACTGCACGTTACTGTCAGGGTTATTCAAAAAAGTGAGAATTGAAAGGGAATTTAAAATTTAAGGCCAAAGTAGTTGAACTGAAGGCATAACTTAGTTCGGTACTTTTACGCTGAATTCTCAGTTTAGTGAATAATCCTGTGTTGTGAGTTTTTTTGCTGGGGAGCTCTGTGATACACAGAACAATATTAAATTGTTCCAGTGATTAAAAATGGTAGACTGGATTGTGTCTCCCTTCCACTTTTTAGTTACTTCAGTGTATGCATAAAGGGGTGGTGGAGGGGGGGAGCAGGGGTGCATTGTGGAAACTGGAAACTGGGCAGCACAGAGGGTAAATCCAGCCCTGGATTAGAGAATCCCTTTAAATGGTCTATTTATTGTGTGAGCATAACAAGGCATATATGTGTCAATTTATGTAATTGTATGTGGGCTATTAAGAAATGTTTGGCTCTTTCTGTATGCAGTTAATTTGGTGTGTTTTCATATGTGAGAAAGAGTAGATATTTCTAGATACTATAATCCTGTATATATACACCAGTGAATCCTAAATCACTATAATATACATTATTAGTAAATGTTTCTATAGAAGCACATGGATATCCTTCTTGGGGGGAAAAAAACCCATCAAAACACTTTCTACTGATATTCCTTTATTTAGTATCCATAAATAAATGTGATGGGTTTACTGATAAATGGCTCAGGACATATATCATTGGAATGTTCTGTGCAATCTTGTTTTGGTTACATTGTAGAAAGTTACACCCTATGATCTACTTGGGAATAGCTGATAGTCCATGTCAGAAATAAATAGCTATTTTAAGTTTCTTATTTCAGGTTTACAGTAAAACACAGGTACCCATAACATGAAAGTATACTAATCATTGTCTCCTAAGAGGAAGTAAAAAAAAAAAAAAAAACAAAGCGTTCTAGTCTGTAACAGCATCAAACTAGAATTGAATAGGTATAAGCAATGTAAAGCAATAACCCCAAAAGGTGATGTTGTCCTGTTGTTATGCAATACGTATATTCGAAGTTTATTGGGAGAATACATCTCCATATTTGTATTGTTTGTGTTTTGTTTTTTTTATTTTTGTTTTTTTATTTTTTTTATATATCAACCGTGCAAAACAGATAGTTACATTGTAATCGAAGTTGATAAAAGAGCTTCAAACTAAACAAATGATATACCCAATGCCAGTTTGAGCCTTTTGTAACTGTACCCATCAGTAAATTCACATTCTTCAGATTCCTTAGACTCCTTAGTTTCCTGGCACTAGACGGCCAATCATAGCATTCCGCATGGCTAGCAGGTTAATTATTAAAAAATGAAAACTCGACAATGATGAACTGTGTGCAAAGAAGCAAAACGAAAAATCAGACTAAAGAACATGTTCTCCAACCTCTGCTATTAAGCATGTGTTGATAGTTACTTATTAACAGAAGGAGCTAGGTAAATACTCAATGCTCCAAAGTGCCAGGACATTGGCAGTGGGTTAGAATGTGTTTAATTTAGGCGAAAAGGGTGCAACACAAACGAGAATAGAGACAATGCATAAAGCTATATCCATGGTACAACGCTACGGAATTTGATGGCGCTATATAAATAATAAAATAATAATTAAAATCTGTCGCCTCTTATAATCATATGACATTTAAAGTCGACAAAATTAACTTGTATCTCAAAAAAAATAAAAAGAAAGAAAGAAAATGAAATATTCTGCGTCTCCTGTGAAATATGGTTTGTCTTTTTGTGTGGGAAGCTCTGGGAACATTTTTTTTTTTTTTTCAATTCTTTTTTATCACAGTTTGATGACAAGAATTCACAGGCTTGAAATAATTGGTGTAATATTCAAAGTTAAGCTTCGACTGTGAATGTTCTCGCAAGGAATTAGCAGTTTACAGAAAAAAAAGTTGTGAATATTGAGTTGTTTTCAAGTGGCAAATGTTTCTTTTTCTTAAAGGCTCAGACGTACAAGAAAATAATCTCGATGACCTGTGTAAATATAAACCACATCTGGTTTTGAAGGTGGGGTTAGGTGAATTCCTGCCATAAGGATGCTAAAGTCACAATATTTTACTCGAAACATACAGGGTTGCTCACTAAAGGGAGAATTCAAAGTAGATTTCAAATTTAAAGAGACAATAAAGGCACCCAGACCACTTCAGCTCATGCATGAGGACATCGAACGTCATCCGAATCCAAATAGGAAAGCATTGTATAATGCTGTTCTAATGTGATCGCAGCCACTGCCACACATCGGAACATCAGTTCTGTATAAGGTCTCCAGCACCGGGACATCGGCGCTGGACTCAGGTAAGTGACAGACAGGGTTTTTAACCCCTTCTGCACCACGGGAAAGCTGGGGGGGTACTATTGTTTTCCTGGCTCTATAGATTCTCTTTAGGGCCATAACAAAAGCATAGCTGAACTAAAGAATTTGTCCACTTCGGCTATTATAGCCTTACACTCGAAATTCACTTTGAAATCACCTTAAAGTCTCACTTTACTAAATAATCCTGATATTCCTGAAAGTAAAAATGTCTCTTTGCTGTATACAGAATTCATATGCTTCAGAGAGTAACGGAAAGTATCAAGATGGATCCCTCTTTGTCCTTTCTGGCTTGATTGAATAATTGGTTGATTGATTTATTGATTTCTCTCCAGTTGCTATCAATTCTACATACTTCATCAAAAAAACATTTGTGTGTCAAGACCTCATATGCTTCCAGGGAAATATTATGGATCTGTCAATCCTATCCTACAAGGACGTAGGACGAGAATACCTTGGGACTCAATAGTGGCTGCCTCATGGTGGGCTCTAGATTCTAGTATTCGCCATACAGCACTGATTATGCTGTACATATGCAAAACAGAAATGTTAATTGTATGCAAATATTATGAGATTACGTTTGCAGTGGGAGAGACATCTACAAGATTAACTGAATTAAATTAATGATTTATAAAGCCTTAGGGTGGCTGCTGACCTTTTCTTCTATATAAACATTTGCTTCTTGTATTTGTATATTCCATTTTGTTAAGTAATAAAAACACAAAGAGGATTAAAAAAAATATAGAAATTTAGGAATACAAATATAACTGAATCGATATTTTTTTGATGTTTATTTCTAAACTCCCAGAAAGAATACATTGAGATGTCTCATGTTTTAGTTACATCTTGGAGAGCACTTACAAATACATTGTTACTCATGTAATAGGAGACCTACACAGAACAATTGTAGATACATTGTTACACATACAATAGACATGGTACAGATGAAGATGTGATTTTGTACAAAAGATCAGACATTGGATAATGTGGAAGGAATGGAGCAATTTTCTTAGCTCTTAAACACAAGTATAAGGGGCCTCTCACTGAAAATTGTCAAGGACTAAGAAAAGATATGAGATTGTTTTTCAAAATATTGACCTGCTAGCATGGCTATTATATGTTTGTTTTGACATTATTTAACAAGGGAGAGTACGCTGTCTGTACAATATTGGTTAAAATGGTGGGTGGGATAATACGAAAATATGTGCCAGCCTCCAATTT